GAAAACTGCTTTGACAATATTCGTTGACAAATACCATCCAACAAACTGACATCTGACTGTGAAAGTTCTTTCAAATCAGACGATATTAAAAACTATCTGCGTTCAAAAAATGTAAACCAATATTTCATTGTCGACCAAAACCATTCTGCTCTTGGTGTCATTGACGGTTGTATAAAAATGTTAAGAGACTTAAACCAACCACAAGGTGGTGAAGCAAATGAAATGTCATATGACGACAAATATAGACACTTCTCCATGGCAAAGATGAGACAAGTTTTAAATATTTACAATAGCCGTAAACAAAAAGGTTTGGGAAACCACTCCCCGAAGAAATGAAAAACAACCCTGACTTAGAGAAAGACTATATATTTAATAATTTAGTCAAAAGAGACAAACAAGAAAGAATGCCGGGCTTCAAACTTCAGAAAGGTGACAAAGTAAAAATAGAAATACCTAAACGCGACCCATATGAAAATACTATTGACTATGACAACAATGGGAACCCGACAGGTACTCACATTCGTGTTCGTAAAAATAGAAGAAAGTATACAAGAGAATATTATGAAGTTTTAGGCAAACATGGCAAAATGTACACACTGCAAGCAGAAGATAAAACTACTATTGTCAGACCTCGTTTCAAACTTGTCAAAGTTCAAGGTGGTATACTTTCAAAGACAGTTCCTAACAAATATAAGACAACTCCTGACGAATATGCTAAAGAAGTTGAAAATGACGACTAAGCATTTCTATACCATGCGTAAACTGTCATGTAAGGTGGCATGTAGTCTTTACTTTGTCCCGTTGTTTGCGTATACCCTGAAACGAAATGTGTATGGTCTCCTCCTACCTCAGTGTTATCCAAGTAACATTTATAGCCAAACTGAACGTTGTCTTTAACATCATATCCTTTACCTTTTGTCATTCCTGTCCAATCCCAATATTTATGCCTATGCCCACCTTCTCGAGAGATGTAGTTAAACTTACGTAGTGACTGTGCGCAGGTAAATTTGCACCTGAATCGTTTTACTTCCACCTGTTTCCTTTGAAGAGTTGCAAACATAAAAACCTGTCGACTATTTGAGTCCAAGTTCCAAAACCAAGTACTACTTCTGGTCTGGTAGAGTTCATTGAGTATAAATAGAGCCTATAGGATATAATGTTTGAAGTATTTCTGTCTTTAATGTTTGAAGCTCTGTTTTGTCTGCTTTCTTGTCATATAAATCTTGAGCAGTGAATTTAATATTATGTTCATCCTTCATGACATAAACATCTTTACATCTAATGTTTCTCATCGTCGTTATGTCGTCATCCGATGTTAAACCTTGTGGAAAGTTAGGAGGTTTCCAATATAATACATCCCCACCAGTTTCTTCAACCGTTCCTTCAATACTTTCTATAGCAACAGTTGTAAAACTTGTATGTGTATGAGTCTTATCTGCTTTCTTCTCTAACTCATCGTTAACATAAGTTTTATCTGCTTTAAGGTCTAAACATCCTGAAACCCATCCTGTATCGGCTTTAGTTTTTAAAATCTTCGATGTCCATTCATGGTACCAGTCAACCCTTTCTTTCATTTTGTTATCTTTTTCATCCACATATTCCTTATCCGCCTTCTTCACTAACACACTAGCCACCCATTCCTTATCTGCTTTCTTTTCAAGGCTAACGTTTAAGTCTGTTATTTCAGATATAGAATGTGTATGTCCAACGGCACTTTTCCTGTTTTAAGGTTTCTTGTAAGTTTGTAATATTTGCAATGGTATGTGTATGAGTCTTTTTAGAATATTCGTTTTCAGCTCTTGTCACTTCACTTGACATTTTATTGTCAACATATGTTTTGGTCTGCTAGTTCAGGATGAGTATGTTTTTTTGTTGCATAAGCTTTGTTAGCTCTTTCTTCTTCTTTTGCTATTGCATCGTCTACATATTTCTTTGTCAGCTTTGTTGCCAACATCTGCTTTCAAAAGAAGTTCTTATAGGTTCTCGTTTAAAGTTCCTTTTGTTGGATTTATACAGACAGTTATGGTTCTTATTGTCTTGAAACAGAAAACTCATCTGTCATTGGGTTTAATGTTCAGTTTTAAGTTTCCTTCTTTCAATGACTCAGATATCTTAGAATAGTTTGAAAAGTTTGTTGTGTTCTTATATTTAGAGCTTGCATAATGAGTTGTCGGTTGTGTTGTATTTCTCTCATAGACGCTGTTTCATTTGACATTTTATTCTAGATAAAATATGCTTTCAATAGAAAAAGAAAATTCTAGAGTTGCTACAACTAAACCATTAGATGAACTTTTTACTAATGTCGGTCAAAAGTTTGAGACAGAGACCGTAAGCATGAAGGCTATCGTTTTGACTACCCGTTAGATGGTTAAGAGACCCATCTGTCACAAAAGCTATTGGCTTTCGTAGAATGAAGTTCATTTCAGAAGCCATACATGGTTTCCCATTTACGGTCGGTTTTGAAGTTCGATACTATAACAAAGAAAACGTATGTATGAGAAATTTGAACAGGGAAAACTTTTACAAGTTAGTTTGCTTGTAAATTTAGAAACAACTCTTCAAGCTTTTCAAGAAAAATAAACGACATCTATATCGAATATGCAAACCAGTATAACATTGACGAAGGAGAGTACCATCTCGATATTATTTATGACAGGAAAAATGCAACTGTTAAAATCAATAGAATAGAAGACCTTGGAGAAAACGTTTATATTTCTACAAAACATAACAACTTGGCATGGTATAGATTTATGAGGATGTTAAATCAGCCTGCAGAATATCCAGTACACCCGGACTTTTATGAAGTCGAAAACCCTAATGGAACATATGAAAATGTTTTCGACTCAGATGCTATTATCGTTCATGCTTCATTTTCTGGTGCGCAAAACTCTTTCTTATGCTTGGCAAATGACTTTTACGAAAAACCTACAAAGCTATATGAACCACCAAGTGGAAGTATTTCAGACTTTCAAGTATGGTTTACTACAGATGGAAGAAAGAGAATAATTCCATTATACCATGCGTTTTACTTAGAACTTAGTTTCATATACAACTACTATCGAACGGTAAAAATATAATTTTTTAATACGGTTGAGGTGTTGGATTTGGTTGCCAACTAGACTGTGGTGCAGGTTCAGGCTGTTGTATAACAGGAGCTTGTTCTTCTGGTTCAGGGTCTTTAGGTATAATACCAACGAACTGACCTACTCTTTTACCAATATTTTTGACACCGTTCCAAATTCCTTTTCCGACGGTTTTTATTCCATTCCATATACCTCTTCCAACATTTCGAAAGAAGTTTCCAATACTACTGAAGAAACCCATTTTACTATATGTAAAAATCTAATGTCCGCCTAGTCTCTTACGTTTCCTGTTGAGTTCCATAGCATTCTTTAACTGGAGCTCATACATTCTGTTTCTCCTCTGGTAGAAAACATATTCTGGGTCAACTCCTGTGTTCGCGTCATCTGCATAAAGTTGTTTATATCCCACTTCGGGGTTTGTATAAAACTCTTTCCATCTCATATTTGCATACCATGGTGGCAAACCTAACGCAGCGTCATTTGACATGGCAGTTTGCGTTTGTACATCTGTTGGCACTTGACCATAGTTTGCCATTGCAGTTTGTATTCTAACTTCATTTGGAATATTCTCTGGGTTTGGTTGTCCAGGTTGCTGTGCATTCGCTAAGTTCTGTGCGTCCATTTAATATTAGATAAAAATATCTCTTACGAGTACATATACTGGACATTTGCAGGCATTGGTTCATCTTCATATTCTCTGTACCTTTCTGCCACGTCAAATAAATAAATGACACAATGGAAAAAACCTAAAACAAGTAGTCCTATTTCAAACCACATTTACTTACTAGTAAAATTTCTTTGTTATGACACTTTCTCCGGTTTATAGGACCTCTCTCATATTCTATCTTGTCATATCTAAACTCATAGTCATGTATGTCCTCTAACCATCTCATAACGGTTTCCAAACCACTTTTATCGGATGTAAAGTAAAAGCATGGACAGTTATGTAAAACGTCTAAAGTTTCTAAAGAGTCTCTCAAAGTCCAGTCTACTTGGTATTGAAAATCCCATGTGTTATAGAACGGCGGGTCCACTATAAAGAAAACATTTTCCTTGTCTTTATATTTTTCATACAACTCTGTCCAATAACATCTCACAAACTCTATACCCTCAATATATTTTTCTATGTCCTCTTTGAAAACATTTGTATAGTTAAGATATAAAACATTTGACATAAGTGTTTCAATGTCATGAACTCTTATAGAACCACTATATAATAGTCTAGCAGATATACTATCCCAGTCTATATATTCTGCTTTTTTCAAAACCTCTCTCACAATATTTTTCTTATCTAATGGTATACGTTCCATCTTGCCTATAGGTATCTTTTCTTTTAACTCTTTCAATATTTTGTTAGTGTCTGGTATATGTTTGAGACGGTTCATATAGTTGTCGAAGTCATTGCATATAATCTTTGAGTCTGGGAATATTGTATGGCACAAATGGGATATATAGAAACTTCCACCGAACAAATCTACAAATGTTAGACCATTCGGTAGTTTCTTAAGTTCTCTCAATAGAATATCTTTACATCTACTCTTATTTCCAAAGAAGGGTAACGGTGGTTTTGTAAAATTCATTTATATATAATAATAAAAATGTTTTTTCCTGAAAAGTGACAGAAAAGTGACAAAACATGAAAACATATATAATTTGTGAAAAGCTCCTGGAAGCCCTCCGAATAAAAACTTCATTTATACTAAACATCTTCAGGGCTAGAGGGCACGAAGTGCCTGGAAGCCCTCCGAATAAAAACTTCATTTATACTAAACATCTTCAGGGCTAGAGGGCACGAAGTGCCTGGAGGCCCCACTACCTTTTTTTTTTTTTTTTTTTTTAATACACTTATCATATTAGAAAAACTTCTACAAAATACTCAAAATAATCATTAATTTGAAATAGATAATAAAAAACATTTTATTTCGAAACAAAAACTCCAAAACGGACAAACCAATAAGCATTTTCGTCGGTTTCAGATCCGTATATTTCATGCTCACCCATGATTTCTGGTATGTACATTCCAGTTGCATTTGCATTTAAGTAATAATTCGTATCTATATGTAAAAGCTTAACATTGTCTCCTACTAAGACATTTTGCTGATTGCATTTCATTTGCCATACGTCTCCGGTGTCGCTTCCATCAAATGCACTGACTTCATAGCCTTTTTCAAGTTGAGCTGTGATTGCATGAGAATGTAAATATTTGTTTGTAACCGTGTGCCTTAAACGAAGGCGGTCTCCGCATTTAACTATTTCTCCTTGGTGAATCGTTGAGTTTTGAACGGGTAAAACTGTCCAGTAATTCTCTGCTCTGCCGTATTTAGTTCTGTTAACTCCTCTAACAAGTTGTTGAGTACTTCCGGTTTGATAACTCACTTCAATTGAAGAAAGCATTAAACCTGTGTTAGCATTTTGTAGTTTTATAATTGAATAGTAAGTGACCGGAACTGGCTCTGTTGGAGCAATCCGTGATTGAGAGATTTTCAATAAAGTTGCAACAAACATTTTTTTTAGTAATAAAATGTACACAACCAAATATAAAAAATATAAGAAATATAAAAAATATAAGAAATATAAAAAATATAAGAAAGCAAACAAAACTTCATTATTCATCTCAGAGTCATTTCAAAGTTGCGCTATGTGAAATTAGAAATTCGACAGTTACTGTGCTATTTTTTCTGCTGCAAAATTTAGAGCAGTTTCTCCATGATTATCTTTTTCATTGATATTTGCACCATGTGAAAGAAGAACTTCGGCCATTTCTTTACTATTTTTATCTACTGCATCATGAATAGGGGTTCTCCCAAAATAATCTTTTTGATTGATATATGCACCATGTGAAATAAGAAGTTCGGCAATTTCTTTTCGATTATAAATTGCTGCATAATGAAGAGGAGATTTACCCATATTATTTTTATCATTGATATTTGCAAAATGTGAAATTAGAACATCAACTATTTCTTTATTGTTTCTAACTATTGCAATATGAAGAGCAGACTCTCCGTAATAATTTTTTTCAGAAATATATGCACCATATGAAATAAGAACTTTGGCTATTTCTTTACTATTTTTATATGCTGTATAATGAAGAGCGGTGTCTTGATTATTATCTTTTTCATCAACATTTGCACCATGCGAAAGAAGAAGTTCAAGAGTTTCTTTACTATTATTTTCTACTGCTCTATGAACAGCAGTTCTTCCACATGTATCTTTTTCATTGATATTTACCCCATGGAAAATAAGATATCCGGCAAATTTTTTGAAATTATTAATTGCTGCATAATGAAGAGCAGTTTGTCCGTATTTATTTTTTTTTCATTGATATTTGCACCAAGGGAAAGGAAATATCCACAAAGAGATGAAATATTAAACATCGGAGAATAAGCAAAACATTTGTTAAAATTATTAGTTTGATCGAAAAATACTAAAAATGATTCAAGATTTTTATATTCTCCACAATCATTTAAATGGATCATAATATTGTACTCATTCATTAAGAATGTAACAAAATCAATGTTGTGTGAAATAATTGCATATTCCATGCAATATTTATTTGGTTTTTGATATTTCAAACATTCACTCATGATCTCTTGATTTCTGCCTAAAAATGAAAATTCTAAACATTTTTTAGTTATTTTTGAGTCAAATTTCGTTCTTAAGAACTTGAAACAATCAACTGCTCCATGATAACAACATAATTCAAGTAATGAATATTCTTTCTTAGAGTGTGGATATAAATCGCTTTCAAGTTTTTGATCTTTATCAAATCCATCTCTTTCTGTAAATGAGATGAATGATATGATGTCATTATCCATAATTGCTTCGTAGATTGTATCTTCTTTATGAATATCCAAATATTCTGAGTTAATTTTTTCGAAATCACCAAACTTGTCTAATTTAATTCCGTATTCTTTATAAAACAGAAAGTTTGAAACAAGTTCAACATTCTTGACATCTTTGACATGATATTCATCAGATATGAGTTTGGCAAGATATAAATATGACTTTGTATAGCGATTATTATATGGAATGATATTTAAAACATCTCTGATAATAATTTGGGGATGATGTTTCTTTGAATCAATCAATTCTGTTTTGATCATTTTGTAAATCTTGTTTAATTCGTCTTCTTTTTTCGTTTTTAGCTGATACAATGCATTGTATGAATCAATATAGTATTTATAGATACTTCTCAATTTACAATATTTGCTTGGATGTAAGTCCAGGCCAGACATTAGAAAATTTAAAATTAAATTCCTTAAGGGTGCCCTATAGACGATAGACCACCCTCAGAAAAGCACTTTTAAGGCTATTATATTGAGAACTAGAATCTGGATAATCCATTCATTCGAGTTCTAATAAGGTTAATTTTGTGATGTTTACATTATCGTTATAGGGCACCCTTAATTTGCCACTCAAATTTTGCGAAGTATTCAAAATAAAAATGAAAAATTTATCGAAAAAGTGCATTAAAAAAGGTGAATTTTTTCCCCTATTCATTTTAACATCAACTAGTTTATGAAATTTTGATCCTATGTATAGATTTAGTGTGGCCCCTACGCAAATCCAAAGAATTATTTGATCCAAATTAATAAAGCAGAATCTATGATGAATTTGAAAGGAATTCGAATGAGTAACTAAAAACAATATATATTCTGTGATGTAATTATTCCAATTTTTTGATATTTTCTTCAGTTTACAAGTGCGGTTTCTCCATTATTATTTTTTTCATTGATATTTGCACCATGTGAAATAAGAAATTCTGCAGTTTCTTTACTATTATTAAATGCTGCAATATAAAGTGCTGTTCTTCCTTTTTTATCTTTTTCATTGATAATCGCACCATGTGAAATAAGAAATTCAGCAAGTTCTTTACTATTATAATATGCTGTTTTATGAAGTGCTGTTTCTCCATTTTTATTTTTTTTTATTGATATTAGCACCATTTGAAATAAGAAATTCTGCAGTTTCTTTACTATTATAATATGATGCAATATGAAGTGCGGGTTCTCCATCTTTATTTTTTTTTATTGATATACGCATCATGTGAAAGGAAGTATTCCAAAAGGGATGGAATATTAAAAATCGGTGAATAAACAAAGCATTTGTTAAAATCATTAGTTTGATCGAAATATACTAAAAAGGATTCAAGATTATTGTAAATTCCGCATTTATTTAAATCGATCTCTATATTGTATTCATTCACCAAGAATGTAACAAAATCAATGTTGTGTGAAATAATTGCATATTCCATGCAGTCTTTATTTGGTGTTTGATATTTCAAACATTCACTCATGATCTCCGGATTTCCTCCTAAAAATGAAAATTCTAGACATTTTTTAGTTATTTTTGAGTCAAATTTCGTTCTTAAGAACTTGAAACAATCAACTGCTCCGTGGTAACAACATAATTCAAGTAATGTATAATCTTTATAATAAATTGGATATAAATTGCTTTTAAGTTTTTGATCTTTATCAAATCCATCTCTTTGGGTGAATGTGATGAATCGCTCTAAGTCATTATACATAATTGCTCTGTAAATTGTATTTTCTGTATGAATATCGAGATTTTTTGAGTTAATTTTTTCGAAATTGTCTGATTTGCCTAATCTAATTCCATATTCTTTATAAAACAGAATATTTGAAATATCCATGAGATCGTTGACTTCTTCCACATGATATTCATCATATATGAGTTTGGCAAGAAATAAATATGACTTTGCATAGCGATTGTTGTACGGAATGATATTTAAAATATTGTTCATAATTATTTGAGGTGGATATTTCTTTGAATCAATCAATTCTGTTTTGATCATTTTGTAAATCTTGTTTAATTCGTCTTCTTTTTCCGTTTTTAGCTGATACAATGCATTGTATGAATCAATATAGTATCCGTAGATACTTCTCAATTCACAATATTTGCTTGGATTAACGTCTTTGTCGGACATTAATAATTTTTTAAAAAGAGATATTTGTATTTTACCATATAAAATACCATTTAAATTTATTGTAAGAAAAAAATACTATGTTATATATGTGGAAAACAATGACCATAAAGATTTCGGATATAAAATATGAATTTAGATTAAGTCCATGGATATGAAATGATGCTGTAACAATGGAAAAGCAGATGACAATAGAATTTTCATCATGATACTTGATTTATTCAAGATTTATTTGCCAATAATTGTAAATCAATTGATTCTTGCAATATAGATAAAGGGATATATTTTGTTAATAAAACTATTTCGTTCAATCCCTTTTTTCAGCCAAAGAACATGGCATATCAGGTTTCTCATTGTCCGAAAGAGTTAAAGATAGTTTTATGATATACTGTGTGAAGATGTAAACCTACGGCGATTCTTTAGTCCGCAAAATCAAAATTGTTAAAATATAATTTCTAACCTCAGATTGCTACGCTTACCCTTGGGCAAGCATGCCATCTTCTGTAAAATAAGCATGTGCTGATTATAGGAAAAGTGTTTATTCAAATAAATTTGAGTGGGATTATTTAATATTTGAAGCAATAAAGCTTGAAAACTCGGTCTAGCGTTATATTTAAACAGAAAAGGCAGAATATTCCTTAGAATTTAATTTTGCCTCATAATTGAATAAGAGATTTCCGAAGAAGTTTATTTATTATCAAGTATTCAGTTCTTATAAGCTTTGGTCTTTGATTTCAGCTCCTAAGTGTTCATGAACATTTGAAATAAAAGAAAAAGATATCCCAACAAAAAACTAGTATTCAGCATAGCAAAATATCACACCAGAAGGAAAAATTTAAAGACAAATGAGGTTCATACTTGCTGAGTTTAGAAATGCAGCAAATCATATCGAAATCCGACAGCTATTAAATTCTGGTTACTTCTTACAAAAAGTGACAACAACATGAATGTTTCTCCATCGAAACCAGAGTTCAAAATCGTTTTTGTTGGAGACTCATCAGTCGGGAAAACAAGTATTATTGTAAGATATTCCAATAATTTATTTTCTTCGGATAATCAACCTACAATTGGTGCTGCTTTCGTTTCAAAAGAGGTTACATCCCCATATGGACAGGCCATTCTTCATATTTGGGATACAGCTGGTCAGGAGAGATATAGAAGCTTAGTTCCAATGTATTCCAGGGGTTCATCAATCGCAATTATCGTTTTCGATACATCCGATGAAGACGGATTTACATCAGTGGAAGACTGGATAGCAAAAGTCAAGGAAGATGTTACACCAGAATGTAAAATTATAGTTGTCGGAAATAAGTTAGATCTCGAGCCAAGATTTAATAGAGAATACGTCGATGATTGGTCAAAGAAAAACGATATTCCTGTAGTTTACGCTTCGGCCAAATCAGGTCAAGGCATTGATTTGATCTTTCAGACTGTTGTTTCGGCTCTACCACAGGCTAAATTTGTTCTTAGCGGTCAAGATGTGGATATTGAAAACAATAAAAAAGAAAAGAAATCATGTTGCTAAGATAAGAAGAATTCAGTTCGTAAGAATTTATCAAAAATCTTAAAATGTCATGTGATTATATAGTTCTATAAATTTTAATATTTAAAAATTCTATTTTTCCTTTCAGAATATTGTAATATAATTGATAACATCGATAACTCTGCTGACAGTATTGTCATGATGATGTAATACATAGCAAAAGCTTGTATCTGCTGAGTTATTGATATTCATTGAGAAAATTTAAATTGCAAACATTTATGAATCAGAATGGGAAATTAAGCTTGATTTAGATCAAACTTGTATAAAATAAATTGTATATGAGTAAATCAGCATTTAGTTGCATAGATTAAGTAAAAAAAATGTAATTTTTTGTAATAGAGAATAGTTTAACATGATTTTATGGTAAAGTAAGATAGATATAAAACAAAGATGAATGAAGAATGATTTGAAATTAAACTGCCGTAATTTTTTCTTCGATAATTGAAGATACTTTATCAAGATTGTTTAAGTAGTTGTTGTATTCGATTCTGTATAACTTTAATAGTTCATTTCTTGTTAATCCTGCCAATGAATCCATATCATCTGAATATTCGTTTATTTCTTCTTCCTCTTCTTCACCTTCTAGCATTGCTGAGATTGAGTTTTCAGATAATCTCTCAATAACAGGTAATGGAATAGGATCCATTACACTCGTTTTTTCGAATGGTTTAGGTTTGAGTGATTTCTTTGTAGTTGTTTTCCTTTTTGGAGCATTTTGTGGCGGCGGGCGAGTTACATTTGATTTTGTTGAGAGAGAAAAGCGTACAGGGCGCATAAAATAAAATATAAAACCGTTTTATCAATTCATTTCTCTGAAATCTTCAACATTTTGGATAAATTTAATGAAAATAAATGTATGTATATACTGTATAGGATATAGAAATGGAAACAAAAATAGCACAACTACCCAATTTTTCAACAAAAAAACTCTAAATTAGTTGAATCTCATTCAATAATATAAGCTTTGATGGATGGAAATTCAATCATAGAATCAATTTGGGAAAAACTCGTTATTCATTGTTCAAATTGAAATTCTATATAAATATACACTGAATTATACTAATTTTAGTCAGTCACTGCAGCATATTATTGGTTCTTGATGATTTTTCAGCTGATTCAATAAGAAAACAGAATCAATTTGAGTATTTCTTCATATCAGCATTGATATGAATGTCATATATTGGATTCATGAAGTAACATAAGAAGTACAGTTTTATTGAGATAGAAAAAACAATACTAAAGTCGTGATTTTTGAAAAAATTAGGGAAAAGATCTTGAAAAGCTATCTGGATGTGAGTAAATTAATTTTTATTAACTGAATTAATCGAAAAGATAATCGAATATTGGTAAAACCAAACTTATTTTATTATATTTTATACTTTCTTCATTGGTCACAATTCTTACTTGGCTGTACTCTTGACAAGGTTGCCGCGGACATAAACACGGATAATGTTTCTGTCATCAGCGCGCTGAACGAACTTATCAAGAAGATCTGTTGTCTTCTCCTTTGTGAAGCAATCGCAAAGGCCTGTATTCATGTCAGCGACAATAGCATCGAATTCCTTTCCGACCTTGAAGTTTCCGACCTTATCACCGATAGAAAGTGCGTTTGCACCACCTTCTGTAGCGAGATAGAAAACGTCTGCTGTTTCGAGTAGCTTGTATTCCTGGCCGTCTTTGCGGTGCTGGAAGAGGTTTGCGCGTGAGCAGATAAGAGCGTTCTGCATAGCATGGATCATTGATGGGGATGGGCCACCAGCGACATCTGTACCAAGGCCGACCTTGACGCCAGCATCAAGAAGGCGACGAACATCGCAGATGCCGGAGTAAAGCATGAAATTGGAAGATGGGCAATGGGCAATAGCACCACCTGTCTTGGCAAGAAGCTTAAGCTCCTCGTCTGTAAGGTGAACACCGTGAGCAAGAATTGTATGCTGGTTGAGAAGTCCGAATTCTTCGTAGACGGATGTGTAGTTAGGGCACTCTGGATGTAATTCCTTAACCCAAGCGATTTCACCGAGGTTCTCGGAAACATGGGATTGGATCAAGCAATGTGGATGCTTCTCAATGATCTCATGAAGTCCTTTCATAAGGGCTGGTGTGCATGTTGGAACGAAGCGTGGTGTAACAATTGGCTGAACAATGCTCTCTGGGTCCTTGAAAGAGTCAACGAACTCCTTGGCCTTTGAAATAGCATCTTCTGTTGTTTCGATGTAGAAATCTGGTGAATTGCGATCCATCGAAACCTTTCCGATGAAGGCACGCTGTCCGCGCTTTTTGCATTCCTCAGCAAGGAAGTGAGAAGCTGGGGTATGAATAGTTGCGAAATAGCAAGCTGTTGTTGTTCCGCTAGAAAGAGTGCGATCAACGACAGCCTTGTAGATTCTCTTAGCATAATCTACCTCTTTGAACTTGGATTCAGCTGGGAATGTGTATGTATTTAACCACTCAAGAAGTGGAAGGTCAAATCCGCATCCTGCGAAGACATACTGTGGAGCATGAATGTGGCAATCAATAAGGCCTGGCATGATAAGCTTGTTCTCTCCAAATTCTTGGATTTCGCCTTCGAAAGCTGGTTTATCCTTTCCGATATATTCGATCTTGCCATCTTTTACATGCATGTATGTGTTTTCGAGGATTTCGAGCTTGCCATCAACAGTGTGAACGAATGTTCCGTGGAAGAGTTGACTCATAATGTTCCTATATCGTCCTAAAGTTCTCAAAATATTCATTTCAAAATTTCAATCGTTTTTCATTGTTGAGCCAAAATCTTTAGTCTTTGAATAGTTACTGAAAAACATTAATGCGGTTCAATTCCCTTACATCAAATTATTCTGATAAAATGCTGCGTGAATGAAAAATTGGAAATTTAATGAATAACATTTCGTTTTGGACGGTTACTTCATATCAATTGCTTTAATTAGGATTTGGTCGGTCTGGACATTTAAATGTTATGAAAAAAAATTGAACATGTAATAATGTAATGAATTGTGCATTACACTTATTCATTAGAAAGTATTTCAACTTGTTTTTATAAATTTAGATTTACTGGTCAATAAATAGCTCTTGTAAAAAAAAATACAGAATAATGAAAGAAGAAAAAAATGTGATGTCTAATCCTTAAAGCGAGATTAATCTTATGGAGCTAAAAATACAATATAAGCTAAAAATTGCATATTAGTAAACAAATATATATTTCATTTACCCAAGCTTGACCCTAAACTGAACAAACTCATCGAAACCGGAAAATTCCAAAATCTTGAGCTATATCCCTGATGCGAAATATCTTCTGTTTTTGTATTCCTGATATCACAGAAAAAAAAGATAGATTTATATTTTATCAAGGATATTCATACTATTACACACAAATATGAGCCATAATTAAGAGATTCAACATGCATAACTACCATTTCTATTGGATGTTTACAGGTATTTGATGAAAATGTCGTCATATTATAAAGAGGGCAAACAATGGAGGAGAAATTAACTGGCAAACGAATAATAGCTATTTGAGTATGCATGTGAAGCTTTTATTTATTTACATTTATAAATTCAACTTCATTACACAATTTTAAAGCCAAAACTAAAATTATTAACTCCAAATATTATATATATTATATTTGACGCTAATGCTTGATTATCATATTAATGCATTTGTTTAAAAATGAGTTTCGAAATAAGATATTTCAAATGTCTTTTTTTCGATAATTTAACAATGATAATATACATCCAATATAGCTTCGTATGGAAAAAAATCCATCTATGAGAAGGATCTTTTTGTGTAATTTCGAAAGTAATCAGAAATCGATAATAAAGAACAATGGATAATCCCTCATCGAGTTCTATAGAAAATCAATATGAAATTTTGTTTGAGTAACATATATTTACAGTTAAATTAATTTTTTCGATATATGGAATTAAGCATCGAAACAAAATAATGATTGTGGATACTTGGTAGCTATAGTGGAGTTGGATTCCAAAATATGGGTTAAATCGCTGCAAATCTCAAAATCAGTCCAAGCGAATAATTTATCAAAGGAGGTTGGTTTAAAATATGTTAAAAGATTACGGATAAAAATAATGCAGCAATCAATATTTTAAGCCACTCAAGCAAATGAATTTATAGATAATTGTCACTTTCCTAAAATTATTTTAAGATCGATTGATCGCGTATATTCTAAATTAATAAATATTATTCATTTTCTCAATTTGATATAAATTTTTGTCACTTTTATTAGCGCTCTCAAAACATAAATATCATTCTTGGTATTTAATGTAAAATAAGTATTTTGAACTAAAATATCACCAATTTTTTTGTTTTGAATGTGCTTTTATTGTACAAAATAATTTATATATTTTTACACTCTTTCTATGATGTAGAAACTTTGTCTTATAAAAAAGAAAATTCAAAAACCAGTTTTGAGAACATTGTATTCAATATTATTTTCGGTTTGACACTTTAAATGGGCAAATTTTCTTAAAAAGGGGCAATTTGAAAATCTATCGTCATCAATCTACTTAATACCATGAATTTTCTCCGCCTCACAGTACTTTGGCCACAAGGCACAATATTACCCGTTAGGGTACGAAAAGATGCAAAGGGATCTGATCTAATTCAGCTCCTGCACTTTTCAGTTTCAGAAGGCTGGGAGATGTTTTTAATCTACAAAGGAATTTTATTAAATCCAAACGAAACTCTTGAAGATCAAATCATCGATGAGAACGCAACTTTGTACGTTGAATTCGTACCCCAAGGCTCTACTGTATCGGAAATAGTACAATCCACACGCCTTCAACAGAAAGTTCAAGAACTTTACATTGAGTCCTTGAGGCTCAACGACCTTAAATATGATCTCTTAGAAAGCCATCCCAATGGAAAATTAGCTTATGAAGAGTTATTGCGTTTAGAGCAAGAAAGCGATGATCCCGAAGAGGACGAGCCCACAAAAATTCTAAAGCCAGACAAAATATCTACAAGCCCCCTTCCAGCATTTTGGGAGTCAAATGACGATTTAACTGATGTTGACGAGTCATCTGACAAATCCAATTATTTATCCCCCGCAGAAGGTTCCCCAACCCTCCTTACAAAAAGGAAAAAGAGCGGGTGGACATGGTAAGTCTCATTTATCAATCTTTTAGTAGCTGTTTGTTTATTTTTAAATTTTGTGTATGTAATTTCCTAATCAAAGAAATGTTTTTAAGTAGAAATATACCTTCAAATCGTGAAGATTTTATGAATTTCAAAAATTTAATATCAAGGTTTATAAACTGCTGCAATATATGTGTTCCAACTTACAAGGATATGATTAATCAGATTTTAAATACAATTCGGAAAAAATCTTATTATTGTGAAATTCCGAATATCAATAGATAAAGAAAGAAGCTAAAAGTTGTAATAATAACAATCTTTAATATATAATTAACTAGAAACAAATGGTATATAAGTGATCTCCTTCATAGGACTAAAACTATGAAACAATAAAATAATCAGAGGTAAACATTCTTATGGGAAAAGTCTTAATCATGATGTTCATGACCATGGTCTTTAGCGTTTTCCAGGTCTTGCAGTTCTTCATCACTATGATGTTTCTCTTTCTTTACTCTAGGTTTAGCTGGAGGTGATGTTTTCATTGTATAAAAGTGTACAGCGATGATTGCTACAATGATAATAACACAGAGAATTGCAATAACAATACCATATGCCATTAAAAACGTGCTATTTCTTTTCGTCATTTATGTGTGGAAAAAAAAATAAAACGAAGAAATTTTATGCAGCATTTTGGCATAAACATATTTTGCTTCTCTATAACCCTACGTCAATGATTTGATTATCGAAAATTGTTATCGGAGATTTCATTTACCTTGGCACTTTTGGTATACGGAATTGACATATTTGGGCGCATCGCGCCCCTGACAAAAAGTTAGAAAAGTGTTAATTTTTAATTTCTCTAGTTTCCAGCCAGAATCAATATAGAGTTCATGGACAAAAAGTGAAACTACTATAGTATGGGGAAAAAATCCTAACGTGGGTGATTTTTCACCCAGCCATAAGGATCACACTTTTGAGAGTTTTACATGGCATTTGCCGGCAAATGCCATGTAAAGTTATCTCAAATATTTTAGGGTAAATGCACCGGCAACCCCTGGGAAATAATTGAGAATAAATTACATGGCATTTGCCGGCAAATGCCATGTAAAACTCTCAAAATTTCAGCCCCTTACGGCTGGGTGAAAAATCACCCACGTTATGGTATTATTTGAACAAATTATAAGACCATTAATAAAGCATCAGGCAGCTTACAAGAAAATAATAATATCTCCTAGATGTTTTTATTTATAAAAAGATAATTTTGAATTTTATTTTTTATTGTCATGGTTTTTATATGGGCATGAATTCAGGTGATCATTAACCATTCCAATTGCTTGCATAAATGAATAAACCAATGTGCTTCCAACAAATTTGAAACCACGTTTCTTTAAATCTTTGCTGATCTTGTCTGATATCTCTGATTGGCTTGGTATATCATCAATTGAATCCCATTTGTTAATAATTGGTGTGAAGTTAACAAATTGCCAGATATATTTATCAAAAGTACCAAATTCTTCTTTAACCTTCAGAAATGCCTGCGCATTTGATATAACTGCTTTTACTTTTAGCTTGTGCTTAATTACACCATCAGTTTCCATTAATTCTTCAACCTTTTTATCATCAAATTTTGAAACAATACTTGGATCGAAGTCCGCATACGCAGCGCAAAGTTTTTCTTTTCTTTTTAATATTAAAAGCCAGCTTAATCCAGCAGATTGCCCTTCTAAGTTTAGCCACTTAAAAATCTCATTGTCATCATGCACAGGAATGCACCATTCGTTATCATGATAGTCTTGGAGAAGTGGATCAGAGTTTGCCCAATCACAACGAGAGTTAGAAGAGTTCATTTATTCAAAAATGATAACTTTGAATGTGAATTCAATTTTCAATACTTTCTCACAAAAAAATTAAAAATGCTAAAATTTATATTGCAATATTGCATAGAATAAAATTTTGTTGCTCAGAAATATTTTTGAATGTCCAGGAAGTTCCCAGGACATTAATTTCTCATAATTTTATCTATTGCACAGTTCTGCTAATTCTACTCATTAGATGCTAAAGTTTTTTTAATACCATAGAATGAAATCTTAATGTATTTGTTATTCTTATAATTAAATTTAGGTTATTAATAGTGTTTTTCTGGATAAAATATTAATATGTGTAGTTATTGATCGCGCTTATTGATGGTGCATTTACTTTTGTATAGCTTGTCTTTCAATCATGTTGTTTAAGGTTAGAATTGCGGTTTGAGTACTTTCTGTCAGACAATGTACATTTGTAAGCTTTCTGTGTGTCAGACAATGCACACAAGAAGAAAATTGTGAAGTTTTTGTATCAGAAAGTACTCGATTTTCTTCTCAAATAATGTTTTTTAAGGATGTATTTACGACTTTCTTGCAAGCTCTCAAATTTTTGACAATAGAAACCCAAAAACCAGATGTTTTGTAGATCTGATCTCATATTTTGATATCCCATTGCATGTTCATATAAAATATTAAAGCGAAATACAAAAATTGTGTTTATTTTATCATGAAATCTCCTTCACAAGTTAAAAAATGTCAAAAAAATTGAGAGTCTGTCAGAAAGTGGTAAGTGCATCTTTTAGGGGTCCACTTACGCTCCTATGACATGACTTTCAATTCAGATGTTTAATGACGCTTCACACCATTTATCAGGAATTTGAATTAAATTCAGATGGGCGTAAGTGTAATATGAAAAAAAAATTGATCGATATTTTTTGTCAATCATTAATTATTTGCATTTTGATAGAAAGAAATAAAACATTTTATTTATCATCAACAAGAATAACAAGAGCTTTCAAGAGCTCGTTGTCTGCTTCACGCATTTTGTTCGCAATCTCCGATATTTCGCTATTAGAAACCTTTTTAAGAGCTTCACTATATTCATTCCTTGGAGATAAAAGAATAAACTCGTGAAGAGCGATTTCTTTGATTAATTGGTCATTTGATTGATCAGCAACCAATGTCCAGTCCAAAGCAGTCTTCGCAAACATCCTAATGTAATTCAATTTGTTTGCATTTGGACTAATAACTTTTAATCCTTCTCCAAACTGCTTCTTTTTGGCAAAGTTGACTGCATCTACCGCCCACGAATACTTTTCATTTGATAAATGAATTTCTTTGTGGACAGCGCAGCCAGAAATAAACTGAGATTTGATATCTCCGGCCCATTGGCATAACAAAGGCTTCTTGGGCCATTCGTTGTAATGCCATCTTTCAGAATCATCCTTTTCTATAACATAATTAATGCAAAAATCTAAATCATCGTTATAAAATTTTGATGAACAAATAATTTCATCTTTCGACCAAGAATCACATTCTAAGTCTGTCCTTCCCATCATAACAATAATGGGTGGTGGAATATCCTTCGAAATCTGTTCTAATATCAAATCTGGCAAATTTTTCAAGTTGTCACTTTTTGCAATTTTTACCAAAGAATTTTTGGCCTTTTCGTGTTGATTCTTCAAAGATAGAGATACAGCGTTATAGAGTTCTGCTTCTGGACATATTCTCTCGTCAACATTGATATCAAATTTACCTGCTTCCATCAATTTTCTGGCGAATAAGGAATAACTGTCTTCTTGGAGCATTTTACAAATCTCATCGTCAATCTCGGACGGATTGAACTTCGCAAATCTCAAGAACTCTCTTCTTGCGGTTGAATTCGATGGCAATTTCTTAATTGACGAAATAACCGAGCTTCTTTCCTCTTTCGACAGTGCGTCCTTAACATTAAACGATGTTACAAGGTATCTTACCGCTTCTACATTCCGATCCTTCGCTGCCAAGAGCTGATTTCCGATATCTAACGCAGCTCTTGCGAATTCCGGCGCAGCAGCACCCATAAGCCTTATAGCAGCTTTTTTGTCTTTCAGCTGTGGACTCTTAAGTGCGGCAAGGCCTACAGCGATCGGATCGTCAAATTTCAGAATTCTGATGTCACTTTTCTGGTCACTTTTATCGTTTGTACAAGAAAGTAAAGCACAATAGTCATTGTTAGTACATACGCACTTTAGACCGAAGAACCTGGACTCGTCTAGTGCCGTTACGATACCTTCGTCGAAATGCTCGTTGTTTCGCTCAGGATTTGGAATAAATCTTACATTTGATTCTCCACTGAGTACTACGAAGTCCCTGTTAGCATCTATTGAGGTGCATGGACATGGTTCTGTAAATTGCTCGAGAATAAACTTGTCGTCGCGTTGTGTAAGTAAAATTACGGGATTTTCGGTTTGAATTACTGGATGTTTTGTTAAAAATACGAAAGATTTCTCTGATAATGCTTTAACTGATATGAGTTCAGCTGGTAAGCATATGTTAAATACTGTTTTGGCGATGTATTTCTTATTTGGTAATGATCTGACTAAAAAGAGTGCATTTGCACCTTCATCTGTGAGTCCAAAGTCGATATCAAGTCTTTCTCCAAGCTCAAAACACTTCGTTCCCGGTGTAAATGGCGTAGTATTTGAATTTCTTGAATCTTGTTCGAGTCTAATAATGAAAATTCTATCGGAAACAGAGAGAGCAATCGTATTTCCTTGGAAGCAGAATAACGGACGTCTATCAAAGCGTGGCATTAAGACAGCACATCGAAAAACAGGACGATCTTCAAAATCCCAGATAAGGAAAGTACTCGATGTGCAGAGAATTGTAGAATTACCGCTAATTTCAACAATTGGCTCGACGTCGCTTTGAAATTGACCGATTAAATAAGCACTTAAATTATTCGCGAAAGGTTCCATAAATTCCCAATTCGCAGGTACGTATGGTAACTTTGGGAGAAATGCTGACTTAGTTCCATTTCTCCAATTTGTTACATATAAAATATTATATTGTTTCGAATTCGTGTTTAATTGTGTAATTGTGAATGAATCAGTAGCATCCATGTATCGTACATCAATGCATGTTGAGTCCATTGATGTCGATGTGAAGAATCTGATCTTCTCTTGGAATGGTTCGATTGAAAAAACATTGAAATATTGAAATCCTGAGTAAAAAAACATAACCTCGTTTTTGCTTGATATCATCATTGATGTTGGAGTTGTTTCGAATGGATGAATCTGCTTCAAACCAGCAACATGAGGAAGTTCAATCATTTGAGGCAGAAAATTGGCACCTTTTTTGCAATGAAGCCTCAATATTTTTTACTTCTAAGCAGTCCTGGAGCCGAAAAGGTCCAGTTCGCGCATCAACTATGTTCTAAAGAACAGTATGAATATATTTCTGTTGTAAATTTGATGCTAGTTGCTTCAGCCAAAGCTATGATTCCAAATTCTCAAATGGACGAGGAAACTAGAACAATATACTTAGATCTCTTCCAAATGGTTCAGCACCGACAGGAAATTCCTGGAAATATGATGGCCTGGTTAATCAACCAAAAAATCTCGGAAGATCCATCGAAAACATATATAATTGACGGTTTTCCACATACTTCTGATGAATTAGATGATCTTTTTGCAATTGATGCTCATTGCAAAGGAGCAATTTATTTACAGCTTCGAGATTCAGAGATAAAAGAGAAACTATTGCAGGAAAAAGTATTGAACAATAATCAAAAGATAAATGATGCATATATATCGAAATATATCACTAATTTTCATGCATCATTTGATCCAATCCTTTCACAATTCCGTGTGACAGGAAAACTGATAACGTTAGATCCGAGGAAATCTATTGATGAATTGGTTTCACTTGCCGATGAGGAAATTACACGAATAAATGAAGAAGCAGATTCAGAATATGAAGAAGATGTAGAATAGGCTTATATTGTTATGTATTTTATATTAGAATAAAGCTTAGCTATTTTGATAATTTCAATAAAAATTTTTCTTAAATATTTTAGTGGGATATTATCGAATGTATCTGTCCTCATAATTTTCATAACTTAGAGGGTATCTAAATGCCTAAATAGCATAGTTATCTAAATTTTCTTTGATAAACTTGAAATCATATTGCTCAACGCAATATGATATGGCTTAGCAGCTTATCTTTGCACAAGCAGTCTTCGTAAAAATAAATTTCATTAATTTTTACGTACATATTAAGGTACTTATCTTCTACATATATAATCTTCATTAGATATATACATGATAAATAAAATTCATAAAACATTAAAAATCAAAAAATTAGATGAACCTTGGCAATTAAACTTTATTAAATAATAGTTGTTTATAAATTATATTATATTATCATTTAATATTATTTTGATAATGAAGATTTTATTTTGCAATAATATAAACGAAATTTTTTAACTTATGAACTTTTGATGGAAATATGCAAATTTAAAATAATAAAGAAAGCCGCGAGCGAAGCGATCGGCTTAGTTCGAAGATTTTGATTCAAATCTTTGCTGATCTGTAATTCGCGGAAGCCACGAGCGAATCGAGCGGCTTAGGTCTAAGATTTTGATTCAAATCTTTGCTTATATTCCTTAAATTCTTTATGAAACTCGCAACAGTTCCATAAAAATTTTAAATTCTAAACTGTCGAAATTACCGATCGGTAATCACACCCTTCACGGGTGTGTCACTTTTAGCTAAAATTACCCCTACTCTACTCATTTCTAAGCTTTACAAATTTTTATAATTTTATGGAGAAGCAAGGGAAGCAAGATACCATTGAGAAAAAATTCATGGAGCTTCTTCGTGATAATGACTATAACCAAGAAACAATAGCTAAGATGATGAAAATGCCTCTCCCTCTTAAATTAGAATTCATTGAGAGAGATCAAGCTGCTGAGAAGGAGATTCGTGATCCTCATTATTTCTTTGAAATGATAAGGAAAAGTTTCTCCGAAGAAAGCATCATAAGCCTTAAAACAGTCTTAAAAACTTGCAAAATTTCTTGGGTTCAGTTATTTATATTAAATCAAGGATTAGAATTCCTTATTCAGCATATTTGTGAATTTACTGAAGAAGCCACCCTCGGAAATATGAATCCAAAAAGAAGAAAATTACTTTATGAATTAATTCAGTGTATTAAAATCCTTGCCGATGTTCGTTCATCACGCGAAGAATTTGTAAATCATCCAGAATATCTCCCGCCGCTACTTTCTGTTATCATGTATCAAGATATCGATATAATGACAGACATTCTTGCAATTGCTGTCGCTTTTGCACCATCACCTCTCTTCGTTGAGTTTGTTCTCGGAAATATCGACGTTTTACACCGTGGAAAATTCAACGGATGGGAAGTTTTAATAGAATATCTTAAAGTCGTCGAAGACTTGAAGAACAATACAACACTAAAACCAGAATACATTGCTAAGAAGCAAATGGATGCGGAGAAGACATTCTTTGCTTTCTTCGGCTCTGTTGTGAAGAAAATACCAGATTCAAAGGCACATGTATCCCTTCTTTTGAAGCTACATAAGTCGCAAGTATTAACACATCTTGCTATGTTCCCAGATCACAAGGAAAGTATCCAGAATTTCATTAACGAAGCAATTATTATCGAAAAAATCTTTCCAGCAAAGCATCTCAACCCATTCGATATGCGCCAAGTATGCAATTATGTCGACGAGAACATGAACCAGGACAGAAGAATGTCCATCAACTTACATCTCGCTAATTTATTGCAAACAGCACCAGAAGCAGCCGATAAAGTCTTAGGATACTTCGAAAACTTCTTACATTCTTACAGACAGCAAGTTTCCATCGGAAAATCAGAGACTTTCGATGAAGTTGCTTATTACTCATTACATCCAACAGATATTCCCGAAGTTACACTTCCTGCCATTCTTTCGGACCTTTTCGAGAAGTACGGCTTCCTTCCAAACGATACTCTTTTAACTTTACCGCTTCCAACTGTATCAAATGACGGAGAAGAGAACGAATCGGCCGAGAGCCTCAAATTCAGACTCGGCAGCATTCAGGACGAACTGAATGTTGTTCGTTCCCATCTCAAACGTACATCAAACGAATTACAAAATGCAAAAGAAGATAACGCGAAACTCCACAACACAGTGGATGATCTTAAGAAGAAGATCACCCCAGATGGAGAAGATATCGCTAAGGTAAAAGCTGTTCTCGAGCAAAAAGAAAAAGAATTAGAACTCAAAACTAAACAACTTGAAGAAAAGAACAAACTTATCGAAGAACTCAAACGCAAAGCAGCTACAAGTCAACCACAACAAGCTACAGGCGAATCCGAAAAAGCAGATTCTGCATCTGTTCCACCACCTCCATCCGGAACAGCTCCTCCTCCACCTCCACCACCACCAGGATTGGTCCCACCGCCACCTCCTCCACCTCCAGGCGCATCATTAGTTCCTCCTCCACCTCCTCCGCCTCCAGGAGCTCCAGGATTAGTTCCTTCTCCACCTCCTGGTGCAGCAGGATTAGTTCCTCCACCGCCTCCTCCTCCACCTCCAGGCGCATCATTAGTTCCTCCTCCACCTCCTCCACCTCCTGGTGCAGCAGGATTAGTTCCTCCACCGCCTCCTCCTCCACCTGGTGCTGGTGGAATTCCACCTCCACCACCTCCTCCAGGCGCAGGAATACCTCCACCTCCACCAGGAGTTCCAGGAATTCCTCCGCCACCAGGAGCTCCAGGACTTCCTCCTCCACCACCAGGAGTTCCAGGAATTCCTCCGCCACCAGGAGCTCCAGGACTTCCTCCTCCACCACCAGGAATGAGGCGAAATGCAGCCCAAAACTTGAGAAGACACAACACAGCACCACCTACAAAGATGAAAGGCTTCTTCTGGCAGAAGATCAACGATGTACAAGCCAAAGGAACAGTCTGGGATACAATGGACGACCTCAAACTCGACTTTTCGAAACTGGAGAAAGCATTTGCAGCGAAACCACCTCCAGAGAAGAAAGCAAAGGCTCCGAAGAAGGAAGCACCAAAACAAGTCGAGTTACTTGACTCCAACAGAACACGTTCCGTCAACATCGCTCTTTCCCGCTTCAAGATCTCTTACGCCGACATTTCAACAGCCATCAGACAGCTCAGATTCGACGGCGTTTTCACAGAAGACCAGTTCTCATCCCTCTACGCAAACAGGCCTAAACCAGAGGAAATCACAACAGTCACACAGTACACAGGAGACAAAACAATGCTTGGCAGCTGCGAGAAGTTCTTCCTCGCGTTGTCAACAATTTCAAACATCGAGGAACACTTGAATTTCATGAGTACAAGCCACTCTTTCAAGGAGACAATCAACCAAGTTGAAGTTCCTCTCGACACATTAACAAACACTTTCAAAGGACTGAAGAATTCCAAGTCATTGAAGGATGTTTTGGCCGTTGTTTTAGCGTTCGGAAACTACATGAACGGAGGCACAAACAGAGGTGGCGCCATGGGCTTTAAGATCAAAATCCTTGGCGGATTGGCAGAGCTCAAAGGATCATCAGGAATTACTATGATGCATGTCATTGTTTATCAGGTTTTGGACTCTCCTCCAGAAAAGAATTTGATTGGATTTTTGGAGGATTTGCAGTCTGTTTCTGCTGCTTCTAAAATGGATATTGAAGCTGTCAAGGCAACATTTGAAGGCCTCAAGACACAAATGAGAGGTTTCTTGAGAGTCAAAGACGAGTTTGAAGAAAAAGTCGTCGAAGGAGATCTCTTCTATCCAAAGGTTTGCGAATTCGAAGAAATGGCACAGCCAATCTTAGAAAGAGTCGAAAACAAACTTAAAGAAGTAGAACAGTTGTACAAAGACTGTTTGTTAATGTACGGAGAAACAGAAAAGGACTACTCAATGGCAGCATTCCTTGAAGTTTTCTCTAAGTTCGTTTCGCAGTTCGAGAACATCCAGAAAGTTGTAGTGAAAGAACGCGAGAAAGAAGCCAAACTCGAGGAAGCCTGCAGAAGGGAAGAAGAGAAGAGGAAGGCAAAGACAGAAGAATCAGATTTCACTCAACAAAGAGGTCTTTTGGATCACGAAATCCAGAAGATGGCCGAACTTTCTACTTCTTCAGAACCAGCGGTTATTACTTCTCGTGGAAGAGCAGCAAGAATCAAACAACTCCTCGCGGAAGAGCATAAATTCTCTATGTAAAAATATACATTTATCACCCCAAATTTATATATATTTTTTAAAATAAATATCTTATATGTTGTCCAGAAATTATTAGTAAATGAAATGCATTTTGAGAGGGACAATTGTTGATGATTTTTTTTGAATTTGGCATTAACTCCTTTGCTTTTGGGAAATATAAATGTATTGTGATATCAACATATATGTATGTTGACGTTTTTTTTATGTAAGAAAAATCTCAAATGAAATAAATTTATTATGTATAAATAACACTCCAAACTTAAATACTGAATGTATAATCATATTGTAAGCATATTGTCTTGTTGTAATGGCTACAAAAAACAATCAGAAAGCTATGTATCAGGATATTATTACAATTTTTTTGCAAGGAAAGGTAAAAAAAAATCATCAATATGATTTTGTATTAGATGGAAAAAGTAATAAAAAACAATTAGACGGAGTGTGACAAGCTAATTTTTTATTCTTCCAATTAAATTCATTTTCGAAGTTGAAAGAGAAGAACCTTATACAGGAGCAATATTGATTGCACCATGCAAAAATGTACTTTAGCTGTTTCTTTATTATTTTCATGTTCTCCTTTTTTTTAATTTTTTTTCATTGATATTTGCACCATGCGAAATAAGAAGTTCGGCTATTTCTTTACTATTATCAAATGTTGCAAAATGAAGAGCAGTTCTTCCATCATTATCTTTTTCATTGATATTTATACCATGTGAAATAAGAAGTTCGGCTGTTTCTTTACTATTTTTCAATGCTGCAATATGAAGAGCAGTACTTCCATCATTATCTTTTTCATTGATATTTGCACCATGTAAAATAAGAAATTCGGCTGTTTCTTTACTATTATGATATGCTGCAATATGAAGAGCCGTATATCCATCTTTATTTTTTTCATTGATATTTGCACCACGTGAAATAAGAAATTCGGCTGTTTCTTTTCTATTGCTAATTGCTGCAATATGAAGAGCGGTTTTTCCTTCTTCATCTTTTTCATTGATATTTGCACCATGCAAAATAAGAAGTTCGGCTATTTCTTTACTATTATGATATGCTGCAATATGAAGAGCAGTTCTTCCATCATTATCTTTTTCATTGATATTTATACCATGTGAAATAAGAAGTTCGGCTGTTTCTTTACTATTTTTCAATGCTGCAATATGAAGAGCAGTACTTCCATCATTATCTTTTTCATTGATATTTGCACCATGTAAAATAAGAAATTCGGCTGTTTCTTTACTATTATTTTCTGCTGCATAATGAAGAGCCGTATATCCATCTTTATTTTTTTCATTGATATTTGCACCACGTGAAATAAGAAATTCGGCTGTTTCTTTACTATTATATATTGTTGCAAAATGAAGAGCAGTGGATCCATATTCATCTTTCTCATTGATATTTATATCATGTGAAATAAGAAATTCGACTATTTCTTTACTATTATTTCATGCGGCAATATGAAAAGCGGTTTTTCCAAATTCATCTTTTTCATTGATATTTGCACCATGTGAAAGGAAGTAATCGAAAAGGGATGGAATGCCAAAAATCGATGAATAAATAAAGCATTGGTTAATATCATTAGTTTGATCGAAATAAACCAAAAATGATTCAAGATTATTAAACCATCCACAATCTTTTAAATCGATCTTTAAATTGTATTCATTCATCAAGAATGTAACAAAATCAATGTTGTGTGAAATAATTGCATATCTCATGCAATATTTATCTGGTTTTTGATATTTCAAACATTCACTCATGATCTCTGGATTTCCGCCTAAAAATGATAATCGAAGACATGTTTCAGTTATTTCTGAGTCAAATTTCGTTCTTAATAACTTGAAACAATCAACTGCTCCATGGTAACAGCATAATTCAAGTAATGTATATCCTTTAAAATAAAATGGATATAAATCGCTTTCAAGTTTTTGATCTTTATCAAACCCTTCTCTTTCAGTGAACGAGATGAATCTTTCTATGTCATTATACATAATTGCTCTGTAAATTGTATCTTCTGTATGAATATCGAGATCTTTAAATTTACATAATTTAATTCCATATTCTTTATAAAACAGGATATTTGTAATATTCATGAGATTGTTGACTTCTTCCCCATGATATTCATCAAATACGAGTTTGGCAAGAAATAAATATGACTTTGCATAGCGATTGTTGTACGGAATGATATTTAAGGATGGGCACTCATAGGCTCCTGACAGCATAAAAATGTTATTATCTCACAATATAAAAGGAATCATAGGAATCTACAACTATATCTATATTGTTGGAAGACTTCTTAATGTATCATGCATATAAGTTATATCAATAACTCCATTATGTTATATGATTGTAATCATATTTTCGTTTCATGTTCAAAAACATTAAAATCATACTAACTATATGAGTATTATATTTAGGAAGCTGATATATAGATATGATAAAATGCTAGGTTTTGTGATTAATAATATATACTTATCTTTTAGAAAATAATACTTTTATAAAAAATTATATCTTATATAATCTAAAAATTTTGGACAATTAAAAAACATTAATTAAAAATAGAAGGTGAAAGTGTTTATTCAAAGAAGGTGCAAGATTATGATGTTTTGAGGGTGAAATAAATTTAATAATTATTTATGTGATTTAAGAGTAATACGATCATCGGTAGCTTGAAGACCTCTCTTTATAGCTCTTAATGCCGCAAACTTTTTTTGAACTTGCTTTGAATTTTTGAATGCTTTGATTAAATCTTTTGTTGTATCATACATTCTGAAATATCTGTTCATCATTTCTGGCATTGTTGGTAAATTTAACCTGTATCTTATTGCTACAATCGTTTCAAACATACTTTCATTGAAATGCAATATTGTGACTGCCATCCTAATTGGCCAAGAAGCATGCCAATTAATATTTTTATTAGCAAGCATTGCTTTGATATGGTTTATCGATTCAACTACTTGAGTTGAATGAATCTTTTTTACCATATCAAAGATTTTTACGGTATCTTCGAGGAATTTTTAAGTGTTTTTATAGCAGTTTTATTTTTTGCATATTTCCATGGTTTAATCATCTTGCATTTTTCAGGATCTGGACAAAATTTATGATTTCCGGCATAATGTTTAGCGGAATTCAACCATAAAAACTTCTTTGTTTTAATTGACATATGTGTGTCATTGAGAAGTTGCCTAAGCCAACGCAATAAATTCTTTGAAATGCTAGATAAGATTCTGAATTCTGGCAGTTTGAGCTTTTTCTGTATATTGTTAAGAAAATGTCCAGGATCTCTGTATTCTCTGATACCTTTGAACGTATTTTTGATTGTAGAAACAATTTTGACATCGCCATCATGCACAAAAAAATTTACACGTTTTTCATTATTCCAACGCTTCAGCATTCTTTTTAAGCCTTCAAATTCCATTTCATTTGATTTTCCGTTGAAATTACCTTTGAAATTTTTAAAAGATTTAGATATCACTTCCCAATCTACAATTTTTTTGAGTTTCTCTTCTACAAATTGTACATAGCAAAACATTGCATTTCTTCTCTGACTCCAAGAACCGTCAAACAAAAGTCCCGAACATTTTCTCATTCGAGATTTCCAATAATTAACAGATTCTCTGGCAACTTCTATGATAACACGACCAACCTTTTCTTGGACTCGATGAAATGTAGCTTCTGACGGAACTTTGATGTTATTCAGCATGAATTGAAATTCTGATTGGCAAAATGTAGCGCCGCTCAATAATACAGATAGCACAAATTCAACAGTGTTGACGACATATGGCTCTACCCTATTTTTCGCGCTTTGAACTAAGTTCTTTATACGCTTTGCAACTGCTTTTGTTCGCCGCGGCATGAAAAATGAAGAATAACTTGACGGTTTCTTGAACAAATGGTCGCACATTCAAATATTGTGATGTACGATCAGGATAAAAGAATGTTGTTGCCGTGAATTTAGAAAATAGCAAAATTTCAATTTACGCAATCGAGATATAACTTGATCATTTGAGCGATAACCATGGCACCCATAGTATTAATGAAAGTACTCATACTTACAATTATTTTCTCCCATAGGAATATTGTTCAATATACTTCACCTATAGAGGAAATCTCGAAATAAAATCGAATTTTTTCAAAAATTACAAAAATCAATTTTTTACAAAGATGTTCGAAAAATAACATTATATACGCATCAAATCAAAGCATTATATGGAGCATTATAATTCTATATATGATTGTCCATCTTGCTGTTGTGTTATTTTTTTTAAACAATAATTTCATTGTTGAAATTAAATTTGCAATTTCAGTAAAAATTGCGACCCATCATTTTGAATATAATTGAATTAATACATTTATTGTAAGAATATTATATACCAAATATTAGACTTCCACATGAATCCTGGTATGATATTATAAGTATTGCAAAATTAGAAAAAAATATGCTCATGATATACTAAAATTCATGTTTCAAGGTTAACTTATAAATAAAATAAGTTCGAGAAATGCATCACTAAATATTTGAGCTTGTGCACTATAATGCTATATAATAGTCTTCACTGTTTTTAATATATTGACTTTGCTAGACTTGATTTTTTTCATCACCCTAATGAGTGCCCATCCTTAAAATATCTCTTATAATATTTGTAGGGAGAAGCTTCTTTGAATCGATCAATTCTGTTTTGATCATTTTGTAAATCGAGTTTAATTCTTCTTCTTTGTCCGTTTTTATCCGATACAACGCATTAAATGGATCAATGTAGTATTTATAACTACTTCGAAATTCGCTGTATTTATCTGGATGAATGTCTTGATCAGACATGAAAAAAATTAACAAGTCCGAAATCTGGTTTTTGCAATAGAAAATTTCTTTAAAATTCATTAGAAGCATAACGTTATGCTATAAATGTGAAAAACAATGATCACAACGACTCAGGATTTAATTTATGGATTTAGGTGTCCTTTCATATCTACAATATGATTCAACTTGTTTTAGAGATCAAACTTTAATAATTTCAACATTCTAACTTGCATCGCAATAATTTCATTTATAATCACATAATTCGTTAGCCAAAATAATTTATAAAAAATCTACGGCAAACCCAAATTTTAGCTAAAAGTGACAGGGGAAAAAACGTTTTGTATTCAAAAAAAAGACCGATGAGAGCTTCGTTAGAAATATAGAGGGAACTGAGAATGCGCAACCATTCTCAGGGAATATTGGATGCTATTCCCGTTCCCTCTGTATGGAAAATTGAGGTTTTCAAAGGGAGTTAAAATAATATCAAATTTATATTAATTTACTTCAAAATACAAAAGTATTTGACAGCTAAAATTAGTTACTTTAGCAAGCCTATCAATACCCTTTTACGATTATTGTTACTTTTTCGAAATAAAAGTAAAAACAAATTTATACTAATTTACTTCAAAATACAAAAGTATTTGACAGCTAAAATTAGTTACTTTAGCAAGCCTATCAATACCCTTTTACGATTATTGTTACTTTTTCGAAATAAAAGTAAAAACAAATTTATACTAATTTACTTCAAAATACAAAAGTATTTGACAGCTAAAATTAGTTACTTTAGCAAGCCTATCAATACCCTTTTACGATTATTGTTACTTTTTCGAAATAAAAGTAAAAACAAATTTATACTAATTTACTTCAAAATACAAAAGTATTTGACAGCTAAAATTAGTTACTTTAGCAAGCCTATCAATACCCTTTTACGATTATTGTTACTTTTTCGAAATAAAAGTAAAAACAAATTTATACTAATTTACTTCAAAATACAAAAGTATTTGACAGCTAAAATTAGTTACTTTAGCAAGCCTATCAATACCCTTTTACGATTATTGTTACTTTTTCGAAATAAAAGTAAAAACAAATTTATACTAATTTACTTCAAAATACAAAAGTATTTGACAGCTAAAATTAGTTACTTTAGCAAGCCTATCAATACCCTTTTACGATTATTGTTACTTTTTCGAAATAAAAGTAAAAACAAATTTATACTAATTTACTTCAAAATACAAAAGTATTTGACAGCTAAAATTAGTTACTTTAGCAAGCCTATCAATACCCTTTTACGATTATTGTTACTTTTTCGAAATAAAAGTAAAAACAAATTTATACTAATTTACTTCAAAATACAAAAGTATTTGACAGCTAAAATTAGTTACTTTAGCAAGCCTATCAATACCCTTTTACGATTATTGTTACTTTTTCGAAATAAAATAAATTTATTATCAAAAACCTTTTTTTTCTTAATAAAAATAAACGAAATTTTTTAACTTATGAACTTTTGATGGAAATATGCAAATTTAAAATAATAAAGAAAGCCGCGAGCGAAGCGATCGGCTTAGTTCGAAGATTTTGATTCAAATCTTTGCTGATCTGTAATTCGCGGAAGCCACGAGCGAATCGAGCGGCTTAGGTCTAAGATTTTGATTCAAATCTTTGCTTATATTCCTTAAATTCTTTATGAAACTCGCAACAGTCCCATAAAAAATTTTAAATTCTAAACTGACGAAATTACCGATCGGTAATCACACCCTTCACGGGTGTGTCACTTTTTACAGGTATGTCACTTTTAGCTAAAATTACCCCTACTCTCAAATATTACATTAAAAGTAAGTAAAGGTTATTTATCATCGCTTTATTTACGGCGGAACAAGTACAAATAACCCTCTCCGAATACATGCAGTTCAATATCCAAAGAATGAAATATATAAGAAACAAAACAGAGAGAAAAAAGAGAAAGAGAGTTATTATTATAAAAGCAGGTCAATCTTTGACTTTCACGATCCGAATCTTTCCAAATTGATATTATGAAGTATGTGCCATATAGGCATTATGAATATAGTATTTATTTTAGTTATCTAACCTACGAAATTTTCAATCAGTTTTTTATTTGAACTATTGGATATACACAAGCACAAAGTTTTCTTCTATATTTCTAAGTACAAATATCTGAAACCTCTCTATTAACTCAACTGAGTGCACTTTTGGACTCCATAAAATAAGGTTATTAAGATTGACCAGCTTTTTATTATATAAAAAAAATCACTTTTTATTTACGGCGGAACAAGTACAAATAACCCTTTCCGAACTCAGGAGGTTCATTATCTGGGTAGACAGCGACCTTCTCATCGTTGTAGAGCACCCACTTTCCGTCTCTCTTCACTGTTGCGACGTAGTGTCCGCAGAGAGCAGAAGTTCCTTTGTGCTGGAGAAATCCGACCAATTCGTAGACACTGTTTCCATCAGATTTTGTGGAGTGAGCCGATTTCTTTCTCGGTCCGAACAGCCACTCTATTGCCAATACGACGTTGCCGCTTGTTTCCTGGAGTGCGTCTCTTGCTTCGTCCTCGGAAAATCCCATTTCCATGACCTGTTGGACTGCAGGTGAAACTTCCTGTGGATTGTCAATGATGAACTGAACTGCTGCTTCCACAGAGTCAACGTTTTGCAGTGCACGGACACATTGTGATCTAGAGAATCCGAAATTCATTAACTCGGAGACTTTTGTTTCGTCAACTTGTACATTTTCTTGTTTAATATCAGATTTGTACTTGGAAATATCGAAATTGTCTGGATCAAAGAGTACTTTGATGTTCATCTTCTTGCACATACCTGTTGGACTGATATTATCAAGTTGTACAGCGACAAATAACAAATCAGGGAAATTAGTGAACAAAATCTTTTGATTTGCACCAGTTTTCTGGCATTTATCGCATTTCCTTGTAGGATACTCGATATTTAGCGATGTTTCAAGCAAATCTTCGATTTTGACTTGTAATTCTTCTTCTCCGAAATGCGGCTGCGGGGAAAGGACAAGAACGGGCTGATCCTTGATGAATGTCGTAGTAACGTCAGCACAATTTGCGCATTGCATCAAATTGACTTGGTCGAACTCGACGTGAGTCAAATACGACTGCGGATTGTGGACAGTTATGTAGTTGAACAGGTATTGGAAGAATTCTACGGCGTCTTGTTGCTCTCCGCTCATGAATTGAGGGCGATCGCGGCAAACAGCGGTTCTGAGCAATCTTGGTGAGACAGACTTGCGTTTGCCTTCTAGTAGTTCGTGGAATAAGCGGTAGAATTGGCGTTTCGGATCTGTCCAACGTTGTTTTTCGTAATCTGGTGAAGTAACTTCGTTTTCGAACTGTTCTATAGAGGCGAGAAGCTGTAAAACACTGTTCATGTAGCATGTGTTGCCGAGATTAACTAATCCGACTGAGTTTGGACCTTCAAATGTGTCAAATTCTTTGCCATTCTTGGAAACTGTGTCAAAGTCCCAGTCTTTGTTCCTCTGGACATTGAGTTCTGTAGTTGTCGATTCGGTTTTGACGGCTGTGTCGACGTTTATGCCAAATTTGGCTAAATGTTCCTTAATGTGAGAATCTGAAACGGTTTCGTCGCAGGAATAGCAGTAAAGATCGGCTCTGCCATCAGGAGAAATGGTTCCCATCTTCACGCAGACAGGATGACCTGTTTGCTTGAAATGTTCTAATGCGTGGCCATTTCCGCCGGATCCGTCGAAGTTCTTTCGACCACAACCAACATAGCCGCATGTAAGACATAACCAGAGGTTGTTTTCGAGTTCGCAGGAAGAACAATGCATATGTGGGTCAGAATTGACAATTTGCGACTGATCAAGTTCTTTGATGTGCTTGCACTCTTCAATCTTGAGCTCCCATTGCTCTACTTCTGCTGCTTGTGAGATGTTTGGTAATTTCTTTAATTTCTCGATTAAATCTACAGCAGCTTCATCGTCAACACATTCCATTGGGAAGACTTCGTAGTTTTCTGAGTCGTAAAGCCTTAATTCGTATTCATATTCGTATTTTGCATCTTGAAAACCGCCTTCAACGCCAATTCCGAGCTTGTATGGATCGGACTTGACTTCTATTTTGTGTCTACGACGGTTTAAGAACATGCAGTGGCCATCTTTCGATGCATGTTCCTTTGCATGTTCATGACATACGCATCTGAAGCATTTAACACAGATGTTTACGCCTTGTTCGCTGTCAATGTCATTAAAACAGAGTACACACTCTTCATTCTCGACTTTTGTCGTTGGAAGTAATGTTCCAATTTCCATTTAAAAATTTTGACATTTGTCACTTTTGTTTGATAATTTTCCGTATTGACCAGTCAAAATTTATAAAAAATACCAACTAATTATTGGCAAACATACCTTTAATAGTGGCAAAGGCTTCTTTATACAGATACATGAGCAGTTTTTCCTTCTATATTTTGAGAGAAATGATATATCCCACTAATAAAGACTCTGAGCTTTTCAAACAGATCAAAATCTCATTACCTTAATGCCTTTTGTTTTTTAAGCGTAAAATTGGTATGGGGCTCCTAAAAAAATTAAAAATGAATCAATATTTTTTTAATAAAAACAACAATGATATATAGTTTTTAGTAGAAATGACTTCGTTACTTTAGGTTGTTGAAATATTCGCGAGCGAAATCTAATGGTTTTTCGGGCTTATTTTCGATAATTGCATTAACTAGTTCTTCAATAACAGTTTTGATTTCTGGATGAGCAACAATATATTTTTTAACTTCTTCGCGCTGTTGTGGCGAGTATTCAGCAGGTGCAGATTGGAAAATAGGATCCATTTATGAATATATTAACGTACAAAAAATTGAGATAAATATAATCGACAAATCAAAAAAAAAAAAAAACAGAAGAGAAACAAATACTATCCTAGACCCATTTTTCTCTGCATTAAGCACGATACCATGGTTCTCCTAACGAATATAACTTCGATTTTGGCTTTGAATAATATTGAAAATGTACCGATGACACTTAAGGTTTTCTTTACCCTTAAAATATTTTGCGAGTTTCAAAATCAAACATATGACCTCCAAAAATAGCGATTTTGCACAGACAACACAAAACCAAGACTGCTATAGTTCACATAGGAATGAGGAGCTTTTGAAATGATCGATATTTTTGATTTTTTATCATTTTTTAATTGGTTAACAAAAAACCATATAATGTAACATATTCATTCGAATACACAGGTGCTCCACAGGTATTTCATGCATTTCCAGGTTTATTTGAAATTCAATTATGGGGTGCAAGTGGAATATTGTTTTTTGATTCTGTTGAGAATGGCTGTGTTAAATATAAAGCGAGAGGTGCATACGTCTCAGGACTAATTAAAATTGATCAAGTTTTTGATTTTTTTGTCTATGTTGGCGAAAATGGAAAATATAATGGAGGTACATTTAATGGTAATTCACAACAAAATTCACTCGCTGGAGGGGGCGCGACTGATATCAGGCTTGAAAAAAAATACAAATTGGTATGATTTCGATTCATTAAAGAGCCGAATCATGGTTGCTGCAGGCGCAGGTTCTGGAGAACGATATTGTGGTGGAGATGGTGGACGTTTAGAAGGTTTATCATCTGATCAACTGGATGTATATCAATTAAATAGAACTACTGGCGGAACACAAACTTCATGCGGAATTTATGGGTGCGATACATATAATAATATATGTGGGACATCAGGGAGGTTTGGAATTGGAGGATCTGGAAATGGGAAAGATCCGGGCCCAAGTGGCGGTGGAGGGTACTATGGAGGTGGTGGTATTACATATGTTGGAAGTGCCAGTGGAGGATCAAGTTTTATTAGCGGTTTTCAAGGTTGTGACGCAATTTTCGAAAATTCTACAGAAGATCATATATATCACAGAGGAAATCCGTTTCACTACTCAGGGAAGTACTTCACTGATGGCATTATGATTGATGGCCAACACGAGATGCCCACAACCGATCTTCATTCCACAGAGCTTGGACATCAAGGTAATGGCTATGCCATCATCACTTACATTGCATCTAATGTTATTTGCTCATGCCAAATGAACATTAATCTGATGAAACTGTTTCTAACCTCAAATATTTTTATTATTTTATCATTAAAAAAATAAACAATACATTTTAATTTTCAAGGGCCAAAAAAAACTCGATATTGCAACATTTGATAATAGAAATGAAATAGTTGAAGTTCTTATTTCACATGGCTCAGATATCAACGAATAAGATTATGATGTAAAAACTGTTCTTAATATGGCAACATATTTTAATAGAAAAGAATTAGGCAAATTTCTTATTTTCCATGGAGAAACTGCTCTTCTAATTGCTGTAGAAAATAATACTCCAATTTAATAACTGTTCTTCTTCTTTCAAATGGCCAAATCTCAATGAAAAGAATAATTCTAGAGAAACTGCACTTGATATGGCATCGCACAATAAAGCAGACGATAAATCTGAATGAGACAGCTTTCATAATATCTCTTAATGAGGGAACATTATATAGTTTCGTTGCATATCCAATTTTTGCATTGTAATGCCGAATACGGATAATAAAAAAAGATTTGGATCAAAGTTTTAATATTTACATAAAAACACATAATAACTAAAGATTTCATCTTATATATATAAACATTTTCGTAATACAAAACAGGAAACGGGAATTATTGTTCAAAATTTGGACTCAAAATCTTAATATCTTCATCAAGCGCGTTAATTTGATATTTGATCTTATATATTTGGGCTTCTAGTGATGATATTTCGCTTTTCTTTTGATTGAGTACTGATGCAAGATCAGTTTGCTTATCTGCAACTACATCTTCAATATTTGTTTCATTCATTGTAGTGTTGTCCACTTGTGACTCTGGTTGCTGCATTTTTGCTATTAATTCAGCCTTTTCTTGATTGATTTTTTCCATTTCCCTTTCGTATTCTTCGGCCTTTTCGATGTATTCTCTAACACGTTTTCTCTCATCTTCAAGCTCCTCTGTTTTTTCTTTTAATATATTATAGAGAGGAAGTAACTCTTCAGTTGTTGATATGATGTTTTGAACTTCATTCAATCCATTGTTAACTGTTTCGCTGCATGATTGATGCTTTCTGTCTAAACCAAGGAAATCGCAAATGTAATTTGAATTAATATCAATATCCAACAAGGACAACATAGTCTTTATTGTTCGCATTTGTTCATCATTCATTCTTTTCATTCTCGATGCTCTTTTGTTATTACTCATACTGAAAGAATTTTATGTTGCCGTTTAAAATATCTCAGATTATAATTTAAAGTCAATATATAGTAATACAATATAATGCCATTTCGTTTTTCAATACAGAATTACTGGTATTCTGTTGATTTTTGAAAAATTTTATCATTAGATGGTTTTTATATTGGGATAAATGAGTCAACACCACATAAATGATCCAGAAAATGTTTTGCAAATGTTAAAACTTATATAACAATACATAATATTCTTTATTATAAATTATCAAAACAATAACTAACAATAATGCGTTCTAATAGTAATATAATCTCATAGCATCATTACTCAGCTTTATCAGTAGTAGGCTGTGGTTCAGATTCTGCTTTTGGAGGTTCAAGAACCTTTATAACTTCCAAAATCTTCTGTTTTTCTTTCTTTTCCATAAAAGCCCATATTTTACTAAGAATTTCTGACTTATATGGCTTAACTATTTGATCTAATGTCTTTTTAAATTCTGTAGTCAGCATTGAATCTTGGAACCATTCGGGTAATGTAATTCCTGGTGTAAACGATATCTCTGGAGGTGCATGCTCTAAATGAAAATCTAAATCTTTAGATCCATCTTCCAAAATTCTAAAATATTCATGGTCAGCATTAGTTGGTTTGTTTTTAAGCCATTTGTTCGTAATTTTCATAATATCTTCTCCAACCAAAGCAAGCATACTCTTTTTCCCGTTAAATATCTCTGCATTTTTACAAATCAGTTTGACATCATTGTAGAAATTGTCTATTGAAGCATATTCTCCAGCATTTAGCTTCTTTTTCATTGTGTGGAAATCCATTGGTTTTTTGATGATTTCGTAGTAATCTGGAGCTGCATCTTTTTCAGGATTGACAGGTTTTCTGAGAGGAATTGTCATTGGAGACTGCATAAGCTCCGTTAAAAGAAGCTGGCAGTAATAAAAATCAAATTCCTCCATTTATAAATCTAAGTTTACATGTCAAAAATATTCTCCAAACACAATCATATTATAATACATACATTTTTTGTTGCATTATATTCAAGAGAAGTAGTACATGGAATCTCACTTGAAGTTTCGGTTCTAAACATTAATCGAGGCTAAGATAAAAACATTAAATAGATCAACTATTAATTATAGTAGAAAATAGACAACATCCAAATAATATATGAGTCACACTATATATGCTCTGCTTCCTCTTAAGACAAAGTTCGAAGCTGTACTTAATCCAAGAAACATTCATTCAACTATAGCTTATTGCTTAATAATGATCATATTTTAAGACATAATTATGAATGATAAAGCTGAAAGAAGACGAATCGCTAATGAAATATGAAGCTTTTCTTGTAAGAGCAAAAAGTGTACGTTTAAAAAAATAAAAATATGAGTTCTAGTGATAGTGATAGCGATTTCGCCGATTTTGATATTCCTGAAGAATTGCTTAAAAGAGAGGAAGCACTTAAACAACGAAATGCAGCAATTGAAGATCAAATCAAAGGATTATTAAGATCAACTTCGTTGGAAGAACCATTACCTTTACCAGACAAATTCACATTAAAACTACCTGAACAAGAAAATGCTGATGACACATTAAATAATTTCCTTAAAGAGCAAGAAAAACCAAAGCGTAAAAATTTCGACTTAAAATCAAAAAATATACCTAAATCATCAAACGCTTCATCAAATAATTTATTACCGCAACCAAAGAAAATGCCTCAACAAGAATTATTCGAAGTGGAAATTCCTCAAAATGTTGAAGCAGTTCCTGAAGTTAAATATGACCCTGTTCCAGATCTTCGAAATACAATGCATAAATTAATCGAGGAAATAGAAAAAGTTTCAAGAGAAATATCATCTGTTCAAAAAGATAAGAATAAAACAGAAATTGCCATAAGCAAGCAACAGTCTGAGCTAAAGAGAGTTCAAAACGAAAACCAGAGGGTAACCGCTGATATAGAATTAATGACTGCACAGATAACTGAGGGTAAAGAGCATCTCACACAAATTGCAAATGAAGTTGAAGCATCAAGAATATCTCGCATTGAGAAATTACGTCAACAACAGGAAGCAAATAAGAATAAGAGTGCTATTGAAGCAAAAATTAAGAAACAAAGAGCAGAAGCTGACAGACTACAACAGCAATATCAACAAATGCCAGCAGCAGATGGAAGAGCTCAAAAAATGAATTCAGAAAAATTGAACGCAAAATCACTATTAGATCGCTCAAAGAAGTCTCTTAGACAAGCAAAGCTCCTGCTTGAAGATATTGAAAAGGCATGCAATCATGAAGAAAAGATATATGAACATATTCTTTCCGCAAAAAGCGTACCAATCTCTCCAGAGTACCTGAAGCGTGGAATCAATGAGTTATTGAACTAATTTTTAACTGATATTTTAAATTGTTTTGTATTTGTTTAAGGGTGCACCCGTATGTACGTTTATTTGAGAGGAGGAGGATTACCCTCTCAATTTTGAGGGATTCGTTAGTTTATTTTCTCGATGAATATGCAATAAAATTTGATTTTTACCTTATCAATATACTTCATATAATATACACATGTTCATGTAAAAACTTTTTTCCAAAATCCTCAGGAATTAAGGGATTTTTGAATTTTAAGAATTTTTTTCGAATTTTTTCGAAAAAAAAATATTTTCAGAACAGCCTTAACGGCTAAGATTTAGGAACAATGTTAAGTATCAAAAAGAAAGGAGGTCTGATATAGACAACATATATCGTTGAAGGTTGAAAAAATCTCTAATATTTGAGCCCAAAATTTCAAATTTTAATTTTTTGAAAAAAGAGGCCACCCGTATGTACGTTTATTTGAGAGGAGGAGGATTATATTTTTGAAAGGGTGAAACATTATGAATATATTAATTATATAATAATATGTATTATTATAAAAAAGAAAAAATAAAGCACGTTAAAATTTTTCTTTCTTGATTTTTTACAAAATCTACTTAGAATTATGCAAAATATGACTAAATAATTATAAATTTCAAGTTAAATTTTAATTTTGATAAATAATTTAAATTTCAAAATGTCAAGTTCAGTTCGACTATGTATGTAGTAATTCCTCAATAAAGTGCCAAAACCCTATTAAAATATATGAACATTTTCAACATTTTAATGTTTTTATTTAAAAATTTGATGGAATATGAGCTTCAAACAATTATTATGTAAATAAAAATAATTAAATATATGTATTTATTCGTATTACAACCGTAGTAAGTCGATTCTTCCTTTCTTCTACTGAGATTTGAATTTGATTTCGAATTGTAAAGAGATTCAAAGGGAAAATACTAGCGGATAAAAACTACCTCAATGAAAGGGTCATAATGGAGTCAAGTTGTATTTTTTGATATTTTTTGCTTTTCGAGCCTAAATAGGTAGCCAAGATAATGCCTAAAAATAAGGTTCTAAATTCTGAAGTTTACATGATCCTCTCGTGTGCACCCTTAAAAATCTGACATGTAAATTTTTTTGGCAATTTTTTTTTGATAGAACTAAATATTCTCCCGAAATTTTAATGGATTATAAGGAAACAGACCTTCAAAAAGAGCGAGATCCTACAATGGCAATTAATTTAGGCAAAGATGATGAAGAAAGACAACATAAAGAGGCAATTTTAGAAAAATATCCAATTGGACTCAATTACGTAACTTCAAACAACTTTGATACTGTTGCCAAAGGTATAGATATAATTTATGACTCGATTCGTTTCGATGATTCAATTAATCTTCCAGAAGAAATTTTTGAAGTTGTTTCAAATTATGCATTACTCTTTCTGAACATAGATGAACTAAAGGCAACTCATCCGGAATACTCTGATCAGACAATTAACACTGTAATTGTAAAAAGTACAATAATCGTTGCAAATCACTTCAAAGATGATTCAAAGTTACAGTTTTTGATGAGCAATGGGTTCTTCATCAGATTTATCACGGCACAAATGACAAATTACTATTTCTTTTTATTAATTAAATTTATTAGCTTTCATAAGGAATTTATGGCTTTTGTTCTTCACGAAACAAATATATTTGACAGGATTATTGATACCTTTCAGAAATTTGATCTCAAAAACGAATCAACATGGAAAAATATTGATTTTTTAAGTATTTTCGTTTTTTGTCAGAATTTTATACAAATTTACATGGAAAATCAAGATGATATAGAGTTTCCTCTTAATATTGATCAGATTATTCAAATTATATTAACAAGTACCAGAATTTTGAGATTTTTTGATGCAAAAACACTTAGTAACGCTATTAAATTCTATGTTGTTGCCTCTACTAACCATGAATTATTAGCAGCAATGATAAATGAAAAAATAATTTTATCAATCCAAAGAATATTTGAAATATCCGTTTATCTTCCTACTTGTAATAATATAATCAGAAACATATTGCAAATACTACTATCAATTTCAGATTTTTCTGATTTAAATCAATATTTATTAACAGATGAAGTTCAAATCTGGAATTTTTTATTTGCAATTGAAGAACAAATTGATGACACAACCATCCATGCCTATATTGCAGAGCTTGAAAGCAGATTAATATTTTTAGATCCAAAAACTGCTTTTTATGACAGAATAGAGAATATTGTTGAACATTTACCTTATAAATATAAGGAAGAATGGTATTTAAAACTCTTAGAAACCATCTTTCATTGTAATGACGAAATATTCAAAGCGATTTTATCCAATTCAGGGTTTTTATTTAAGATTTTGACTTTGTATCCAGATCAAAATAATGATAGAGAAAAATTACTGACTTATTTGGAACTTTGCCTCGGAATGAAAATTAATCTTTTTTCTGTTCCATTAAATGACGCTAGATATTCAGAATTTATTAATAATGAAGATGAATTTGCTGATTGGATTATAGAACTCTACGATAATTATCAAGATGTTCTTAATAGTCTTAATGATGAATTTAGAGAACCTGCTGAATATGTGACTTCTTATTTAGATGAACTTATTCAGCATTTTAATGATAAATAAATAGATTTTGTATGTATTATCAAATAATAATTTTTATTACAAACAAAATAATATAAATGTAATCATACAAGTCCATTTGGATGAATAATTATACTTAGTTTTAAGTATCAAGAACACGTCCTATAAAGAAAGAAATTGAATTTGTTGGAATCCTATGAAAATTCGTAGATAATTATCAAATAACCTGATATACAAAATAAGCCAAGTTCTCAGCATAAAAAGCAGAAAGATAAAAAATTATTTTGGTGAAGCAATAAGATTTGAATCTTTCTCAGTATTCATTTCTCTTTCAATGTTCATTAGTTCTACAAAGTAACCCTGTTTTTCGAGATCTAGTTGACGCATTGCTGGATCCAATAATTGTATTTCTTGCAGCAATTTTTCATTGGCTTCGCGTTGATTTCGGATTGCTTGCATCAAGGCAATATTTTCTAAATAAATTTCGGTTGTAGTCATCTTTGAAAGGTCTTTTTCTTCGAATTCCGGACAATTTGCGAATTCTTTTGCATCTTCAGGATCTGATTCATAAATGTGGTTAAGTATCTGTGCATTTTCAATTAATGTAGGACATGAATCGACTGTTTCATTTCGATACATTTCAGGAACAGTTTTAAATATTGCCTGATTAAGATCATCATATTTCTTTTTCGAAAGGTTATCTCTTAACCATCTATCAGTCAAATCTGCTTTATATTGACTCACTCCTCGCATAAATTTCTTTCAGCGTAAAAAAGTGCCAAAGTTTTATTCTCAAGATGACATCATGGTTAGAAAATATCAAGAATCAACACGGTTCTCTTGTTGAAGAAGAGGATGAAGAAGAGGAGGAACAGGCTCCAAAGCAACCGGAAGAGAAAAAACCAGAAGCACCAACAGAAAAACCTCAAATTGAACAAGAACAAAATCAAAAACAAGAAACCGCACCTACACAGCAAGAACCTGTAAAGACCACACCTACTCAAGACAAATTTAAATACGAGGGACCAAGTACAAGAGAAACTTACTTATTCGCAACAAGCATTGATAAAATTGAATCAAAGCAAGAAAGAGAATATGTTGAAAATCTGCTTAAAGTACGAGCAAATTTATCAAATGTACTTGATTCTGCTTCAAAGCCATTGGAATCTGTCGGCTTTCTTAATAAAGCAGCAATATCTGCGAAGAGCAGGTATACCAACTTGAGCAAGCTAATTATGTCTGTTCCAATACCTCATACAGCTGCAGCAAAATCAAAATAATTTTATTTTTTTTTTATTTTCAAAAAAAACTGTACCTTTAAAAATGCAATGTTATATACCTAAAATTTTTTATACAATCGCTTTTAGATGTAGTTATTAGATTTTCCTCAAATAAAATAATTCAAAATTTAAAGCCATGAGTAAATATTGATAATGCAAAATTCTATCAAGCTAGTTATTGACCTTATCATTAGATCTCATTCTTCTTTCTTCTATATATTATTAACTAAATGAGAATATAATTAAGAATAATCTAACCAGTAGAAGAGAAAAATTTTGACATTCAATTAAAACGGACTCAATATTTTAATCATCTCGAAACATTCAATATTTTCCGATTTCATTTCATTTAATTCTTAGTCAAAGTGATCAGAATTGTTTGGAATCGGAAATAATCACACATAAATTGGGGAAGAGCAAATATCATATAGTATGAAGTCAAATAATTATTTTTTCGGGATGCGTTTATTTGAATCAATCAAATATGCTTTGATCATATCATTTCTTTTATTCAATAGCACCATGCGAAACAAGAAGTTGGATTATTTCTTTGTTTTTATTCCATTTTGCACAACTAAGAACTGAGCATGCATATTTATTTTTTTCATTGATTTTTGCACCATGTGAAATAAGAACTTCGGCTGTTTCTTTATTATTATTTTGTACTGCACGATAAAGAGAGTTTTTTCCGGATTTATCTTTTTCATTGATTTTTGCACCATGTGAAATAAGAAGTTCGGCTATTTCTCTGCTATTATTTTCTGCTGCTATATGAAGAGCAGTTTGTCTATCTTGCTTTTTTTTATTGATATTTGCACCATGTGAAATAAGAAGTTCAATTGTTTCTTTACTATTATTTTGTACTGCATAATGAAGAGCAGTTTGTCTGTATTTATTTTTTTCATTGATATTCGCACCAAGGGAAAGGAAGTATTCACAAAGAGATGGATTATTAAACATCGCCGAAAAAACAAAACATTTGTCTATATCATTAGTTTGATCGAAATTAACTAAAAATGATTCAAGATTATTGTAAATTCCGCATTCATTTAAATGGATCATAATATTGTGTTCATTAATCAAGAATGTAACAAAATCAATGTTGTGTGAAATAATTGCATATTCCATACATTCTTGATTTGGTTTTTGATATTTCAAACATTCACTCATGATCTCTTGATTTCTGCCTAAAAATGAAAATTCTAGACATTTTTTAGTTATTTTTGAGTCAAATTTCGTTCTTAATAACTTGAAACAATCAACTGCTCCATGATAGCAACATAATTCAAGTAATGAATATCCTTTCCTAGAGTGTGGATATAATTTGCTTTTAAGTTTTTGATCTTTATCAAATCCATCTCTTTCTGTAAATGAGATGAATTTTTCTTTGTCATTATTCATAATTGCTTTGTAAATTGTATCTTCTGTATGAATATCGAGATTTTCTAAATTGACATCTTCATAATCATAAGACTTATTTATTTTAATTCCATATTCTTCGTAAAACAAGTAGGTGGAAATTTCGACTACACCACTGACCTCTTTCACTTGATAATCATCAGATATGAGTTTGGCAAGAAATAAATATGACTTTGTATAACGATTATTATACGGAATGATATTTAAAATATCTCGTATTATTATTTTGGGAGGATATTTATATGAATCAATCAATTATGTTTTGATCATTTTGTATATCTTGATTAATTCTTCTTCATTTTCCGTTTTTAACTGATACATCGCATTAAATGTATCGATGTAGTATTTGTGGCTACTTCGGAATTTAGTGTATTTATCTGGATGAACGTCTTGCTCAGACATAAGAAAATTCTAATTCTTAAGAATGCTAAAAGTTCTGAAAATATGCATTCTTGCAAAAAATGGAGTAGGGGTAATTTTAGCTAAAAGTGACACACCTGTAAAAAGTGACACGCCCGTGAAGGGTGTGATTACCGATCGGTAATTTCGACAGTTTAGAATTTAAAATTTTTTATGGAACTGTTGCGAATTTCATAAAGAATTTAAGGAATATAAGCAAAGATTTGAATCAAAATCTTAGACCTAAGCCGATCGCTTCGCTCGTGGCTTCCGCGAATTACAGATCAGCAAAGATTTGAACCAAAATCTTCGAACTAAGCCGATCGCTTCGCTCGCGGCTTTCTTTATTATTTTAAATTTGCATATTTCCATCAAAAGTTCATAAGGTAAAAAATTTCGTTTATATTATTGCAAAATAAAATCTTCATTATCAAAATAATATTAAATGATAATATAATATAATTTATAAACAACTATTATTTAATAAAGTTTAATTGCCAAGGTTCATCTAATTTTTTGATTTTTAATGTTTTATGAATTTTATTTATCATGTATATATCTAATGAAGATTATATATGTAGAAGATAAGTACCTTAATATGTACGTAAATTTTAATGAAATTTATACAACATTATAAAAATTTATGAATAAAAACTTGATATAAAATAACATTTTTATTTTTACTAAGAAAAAAAAGGTTTTTGATAATAAATTTATTTTATTTCGAAAAAGTAGCAATAATCGTAAAAGGGTATTGATAGGCTTGCTAAAGTAACTAATTTTAGCTGTCAAATACTTTTGTATTTTGAAGTAAATTAGTATAAATTTGTTTTTACTTTTATTTCGAAAAAGTAGCAATAATCGTAAAAGGGTATTGATAGGCTTGCTAAAGTAACTAATTTTAGCTGTCAAATACTTTTGTATTTTGAAGTAAATTAGTATAAATTTGTTTTTACTTTTATTTCGAAAAAGTAACAATAATCGTAAAAGGGTATTGATAGGCTTGCTAAAGTAACTAATTTTAGCTGTCAAATACTTTTGTATTTTGAAGTAAATTAGTATAAATTTGATATTATTTTAACTCCCTTTGAAAACCTCAATTTTCCATACAGAGGGAACGGGAATAGCATCCAATATTCCCTGAGAATGGTTGCGCATTCTCAGTTCCCTCTATATTTCGAACGAAGCTCTCATCGGTCTTTTTTTTTAATACTAAACGTTTTTTTTTTCCTGTCACTTTTAGCTAAAATTTGGGTTTGCCATTTTGTAAATCAAACTTTCATATATTTTGGGCACAAGAGAGGATAGTATAATACAGTTTTTATGACTTTTAACGATTTACTCAATTGAGCATTATTTGCACATCAAATTGATGCCAATTATTGGAACTATTGCACGTTATATGTATTTAGAGGAATGTATGTAAGCTGTATGATTCTCGAAAGCGTTTATAAGGAAGGGTAATTTAGAAATGAAATTGGATACTCTTAAAAGAACTTTTTAGTCATTAGACACTGAGTTATGCCTATTAAAAACCGAAAACTCATACGATTATAATAGGATTTCAGTAATTGATGAATTTTCAATTAAAATATAGGGAAAAGCCAAAATTTTGTGGGAATATGTGTTTTTTAATCTACGTTTGGATGTTTTAAAGATTGATGATTCCAAAAATAACCATGCTTCAGTTTCATGGATGAAAAATGTACAACTGAAGCATGGTATTGCACTAATCATTCCTTCTTACAATAATATTATGGTGATAATGTCTGCATATGATAGTTAGAGCATTGAAAATTGTGAAAAAATTTGATAAGTTTCGAAAACTAATTACAGTATGTTCGAATATATTAGAAGTCAACAACATTTGATACCATTAGCTGTAAACAATCAATAATAATTGATTGATGAAAATCGATATCAATATTGTAAATTTTCGAATCTATTTTGACTGAAAGCGATTGCTCTAGACACCTGGAATGAAGTTATCCTTGGTGATTTTTTCCAAATTTTTTCTATTTTTGAAGATGTCTAAATAACTTCCTAGAAAATGATAATGATTTTTACAATTCTCGATTTTTTTTGGAAAATTGAGGTTAAAAATCTTAAAAAATTAAAATTAATATAGAAACAAAGCAAGTTTATTGCATTATAAATCGATTATATCATTTAATTTTTGTTAATCTAAAAGCTTTCTCTTAAACTAAGCCAATTATACGCAAAAATAAATAATTATTTTTAATTGTTAAATACTAGAAACTTATCTTTCAAAATACACTCATAAATTGAGAATTTGTAAGTTATGTACATTGTGTTTATACCATACTTCCATTTACCAAGATTATCTTAGATATCAGGTTGATATCATCAAGTTATTTCTTTGATTTTGATAATTTTGTAACTCCACCCAAACAATATGAGATATTTTTATTATATTCCTGGCTTTACAAAGAATGGATTCATAAAATTCATAATGAATTTGTAAATCCAATTCCATAAAGATGCGTCTAACAAGACTAACGCATCAAGTAATTCTAACATTTTATTGGCAATAGCCTCATATTTTATATTTGTTTTTCAAGGAATGCAACATACTTTTACATGCTTGGATAGATTTAGGATCCTAAATCGTATGAGTTATCAGAATTACTATGTTTTTTATCAAAAGAAGCTCGATTATGCACGATCCAAGCTCATGAATCAATTAGAACTTCCATTTTTGTTTTCGCTTCAAGATGCTCCAAAAAACACTAGATTTTCTATAGTAGGCTTTATTCATATTGATGGCAACGATAAATATCCAGAAATTAATTTTAAGAATGATCAATCTCGAAATGGGAGACAAATATATCTTGAAGATTCATCTGGAAGAGTTAGACTTATCGGTGACTTTCCATTTCCAATAGCTTCCAATATTTGTGTTGGAACAACAGGGGTTTTGACTTTAGAAGGGAATTTGCTCTTTGATAAAATAATGCTAATGCCGAAGCTCTTAATATCTAATTCAATTGTGCATCCTCAGGTTAAGATAGCATTGGTTTCTAATTTATGCTTGGGATCAAAAAATTTTGATCTAAATTCCGGAAATAAGCTTATAGAATTCTTAAAATCTTGCGATTTATGCATTATAATTGGAAGCATCATGGATAGCAATGATTTTCCTGAGTTTGCAAATGCAGAAAATGATTGGAAAGAATGGGTAGAATTGATTGATCCATCATTGATAGAGAACTTTCATTCATTTTTTGGTGAAATAGACACACGTTGCATATTAATACCAGGATTTGGTGACCCAACAGAGTCAGTAATTCCAATTCAGCCATTTAATCCTGCATTTATATCACCATTAAATATGGAATGCACCACAAATCCTGGTTTAATCAATATCGATGGAATGAAATTATTGGGAATGACAGGTAACATCATTGATAAGATAGATTGCGATCAATTAAGTTTCCATGAAAGACAGAAAATGATCTTGTCATGGAGATATATAGCACCAAGTTCACCTACAAGAATTCCATGTGAAGTTTGCGAAAAGGATATTTTATCATTAGATTTTATGCCACAGGTATTTGTTGCAGGTGGATCACAAAACTTAGAATACAGTATGGCTGATGATACACTTGTTATTTCAATACCAGATTACATAACCAGTCATTCAGCAGCTTTACTAAACGCAGAATACAACGAAGTTAGCATCATTAATCTTATGGATTAGCAAAATTCAACAAGATCTACTAAAATTTTTCCTAAATCACATTATTGTTCAGATAATGTATGGAATTAATAAGACATATGGTACTACACATGCAATTTATGAAGGAAGGATCAGGAAAACACCGACATTTTCCTTAATTTTCTTCATAATTTCAGATATGGATGCAACAATCAAGCATCATATTTTGAAAATATATTCAGTTTTGCATGTTTAATATAATTTGAGAACGAACAGACAAAAATAAACCGAAATTTTCGCTTATATTTCGGTAGCTTTAATTGTCTTTAAAAATTCTTTGTATATATATCAAAATAATCACATACAGTTTTATAATACATGATAAAAAAGATAAAAACATGAAAAATGTAGAACAATCATTCCACAAAAGTTTCTAGAGAACGAGAGTTAGTTAAATGTATTCTAGAACTTCCACGGTTGAAGGCCAAATGAGACTTGTAAATAGAACTATCTTTTGATCGAGGTTTAATTGCTAAATTTTGAGATTTATGCATATTATTATTCAGTCCAATGTTTTCACCAGCGTACTGCTTAAAATAAGGCATTTCAAGAAGTTCTGCAATTGTGGCCCTTTTATGGACGTTCACTTCTAAGCATCTAGACACAACTTTTCTAAATAAAAGGTTATGGATTTCATCTTCAGCGTAAATACCTGCTTCAATCATCCTTTGAAGGCTTAACTGATCATTTGAATAAAAAGGAAACGTTCTAGTAGCCATGTAATACAATGTAACACCTATAGACCACACATCGGCAACAAGAGGATTGTATTGGTCTGCTGAAAATATTTCTGGAGCCATGAACATTCTTGTACCTTTGAAAACATGACATAGTTGCTTGTTCTCGTAAAGTGTACTAAGGCCAAAGTCTGAAATTTTTAAGCGGCCATAGTGATCAATGAGGAAATTTGCAGGTTTAATATCTGAATGTGCTATATTTCTTTCATGGCAAGCTTTGATGGCGTATAAAACTTCATAGCTATATTTGTATAACTCTTCATCAGTGAATTCTGGTTTTTCAATCATTAATTTGTTTAAATCTGAAGGGCAATATTCAAGAACGAGGTAAAGAAAGCCTTGGAATTTAAAATACTGATAGAAACTTACTAAAGTACTCACAAAATCTAGATTGAGAGGCGGTCAATGACTTTTGAGGGGAAATTAACGCATGGAATTTAATATTATTTAGGTTGATATTCTTGCTTATTATTTCAGAAAAAAAAATCTTAAAAATTTCAATATGAAAATTGAAAGCAATTCAAAAAAATTGCTAACATGTAAATTTTAATATCCTATGCATAATTTCATATTTTGAACATTTTTTATTTTTGTTTAAAACTTAAAATTTTGCGAATTTAATATAATTTATAAAATATAATACGTATATATATTTAAAATACACTAAATTTAATTGTTAATTGACGTTTTTGGGAATGAATTTTATCAAAACATGCCTGAATCCGAAAATTTGAAAGAACGAATTACACAATCATATATGTAGAATTCAAAATACAAACTTAAAGATTGTATACGTTTAAAATTATTCAGATTGTGTTTGATTTCCACTCATTCTGTTTCTTTTGAACTCTAACACTAACATTTCATGATGATTACATGATCCATTTATACATGGTTGAATTGTTCCAGATTCTACCAGAAAATCAATCCAAATTTCTCAATGCATTCATGTTGATTGGACAAAATTTAAAATTTATCAGCCTGTTTCCAGAGAAACTCATATATTCCCTAATGAAATGTAATTTTTGCTACATTTATTTCAATCAAATTTCAAAAAATTGACTGCAGAGCTTGAAAAGGTGATGAATCATGTTGTTATTAGATGTACATATTAGATTTACTATTTCCAAAAAAATGCTCAAATTTGAATAGTTTTTAGAAAATTTGGAATTACACTCCTTAAATTATATATAATTAAATGTTTAAATTTTATTTATTTTTCCCTTTTAATTTTATAACGTGCTCTATCAAAACTAACCTCTCAATTGAAGGCCACAAAATCTAAGTAGTGAGGGTACACAAATTTTATATGGAGTACGGTTCAATTTTTGAGAGCCTCACTACTTAGATTTTGTGACTACCTTATATTAGGATCGTACAAGGATTTTAGACATTGAATTTCTGAATCATTAAACATTGACTCGGGAACTTTTTTTAATGCGAAATCTGAACGATATTTATCTGAATGAACGAGGTAAATGGTTCCATAACCACCTTTAGCAATGGTATCAACAACAGTCAATCCAACATTCTTTAAGAATTCAAGTTCTGTAATATCCATGCCCAAAATGGGTATTAATTTTTTTTTTCAGAATTGTATACGATCTAAACAAATTGAATTAATTGAAAAGTAAAACAAATTTAGATAAATGTATGTATTGGTATGATTGCGAGACATTATTAAAAATATCTGTAACCATTGTCAAGAACGTTTGAACCATCATGGTATTATATTTTTATTGTGAAAACACGTTACCATTATTAAATGTGCATATGAGTAAATTTTAATTGATAGAAAGAATTTCATTGAAATATACCTTCTCAAATATTTGTGAGTTGCAGAACTTTTCTTTGAAAACCAAATATAAAAATACATTTATACATAGAAATCTGCATTTTTCACCTAAAAGTTATAAAGAGGGTTAGCCAATGAATTAAAATTCTGAAAAGTGAAAGGGGACTACCCATTATTTATTCTCATTATCGTGGCTCTATTTCATCGATAATAGAAAATTATGTTTGCGTTCTTTGAATATAACGTCATTATCAACAAGTTTCCTAAGACCCTTTAAGTTGTATAATTCCTTTATTTCAACATTATTATTATTATTCATTAGATTGAGTAATAGATAAAGGAGAAAGATGATCTTACCATCAATTAACTATTATAACAGAAGCCATTGATGACGCAATGTTCTTTCTAACTTCATCATATTTTCATTTATATATTTTTATAACTAAAAATTCGATCAAATTTCTCGCCACCTGTAACTGATCTAGGTATTCTTCCTTAAACATTAGATTTTCATTCATACTCTCTCTATTAAAAATAATAAAAATACCAATTATTATCTTTTGACAAGTTAAAGATTGTAACCCAGATCGCTCAATAGCATTATAAATATCCCATCTGATAAAATGAAATTATTATTTAATCAAATTCTATATTTAACAAATTTTCTAATAAGATTGCTTAATTTTATGACATTCTGTAGATCTGGTCGTTGTTTCGCTTGTGTTGAGTGTTAAAGACTTTCTCTTTATAAATCTTTTTTTTTATTTCAATTTAGCATGTGTTTAATTCTAAAATTATATCATAAAAGTCCGACCTTTCATTGGGTATATATGTCGGAGTCAACTACTCTTGAAAAGATTCATTGAGACATTGCCTATGCAATTTTAAGCGTAGCTCAAGAATAACATGAATTCACCATGCTCAAGATACTTGAATTTTCAAGGTGTTATTCTTGGGTAAGCTATTTAGTGTCAAAAAATAAACGAAATCAAATGCATATTAATCCCCACAAGCCGCAATATCATACGGGTTTGGAAGGGAAAGAAATCTTTTATAAAATAAACGCATAACTTAACTTGAAATGTTGAATCTATTTTTAATTCTTTTCTTAAAACGGTATTTTTATTAATAATATTCTTTTAATAAGCTATACAAGCATATATTTGGGAAAATTCCTATAAGTGAGGTGACACCAAAAAAATATCAAGAGATTTGTTTAATCTTAGATAGTTTTCGAAAATATCATCCCATAATATATTTATTTTTAGTGAAGAGAAATGAAATCAGTATGTGGTCAGGATACTTTAGTAGGACGATAGGCGAATTGTATGCCCGTTTATTTTTTGGTCAAGTAATATATATGCAGTCACCAATTATTGTCCTTAACCAAACGCAGAAGCGCGAAAACGGTCGCAAGGCCCAGCTTTCCTGCATTCAAGCAGGAAAGATGACTGCCGACATCATTCGCACTTGCCTTGGTCCACAAGCAATGCTCAAGATGATTCTCGACTCAATGGGCACACTCGTTATCACAAACGATGGTAACTCCATTCTCCGTGAAATTGATGTCGCTCACCCAGCTTCTAAATCACTTATCGAACTTGCACGTGGCCAAGATGAAGAAGTTGGCGACGGCACAACTACAGTCGTTGTTCTTGCCGGTGAGATTCTTGCCGTCCTCGAACCACTCCTCAAGATGAACATTCACCCACATGTTATTGTTGCTGGCCTTCGTAAGGCTCTTGAAGACGCTCTCGCTCATCTCGAGAAGATCAAAGTACCAATTGACAACACATCAGACTCTCAGATGCTCAGTATCATCAAGTCTGCTATCGGAACAAAGTTCCTTGTCAAATGGTCAGACTTAATCGCTAAGCTTGCTCTTGATACAGTCCGCCTTATCCGTACAGAAGATGGTTTCGTAGATCTTAAGCGCCAAGTCCGTATCGAGCGTATCATCGGCGGTGAACTCGAAGATTCCTACGTTATGCACGGCGTCCTCATCAACAAGGATGTTGTCCATTCCCACATGCGCCGCCACATCGACCATCCAAAGGTTTTAATCCTCGACAGTGGTCTCGAGTACAGGAAGGGCGAATCCATCACAACCATCGAAATTACAGGCGAGAACGACTACGCAAACATTCTTGCCGAAGAAGAACAGCAAGTTCGCCAGATGTGCGAAGCAGTTATCGCTACAGGTGCTAACCTTGTTGTTGTCGAGAAGGGCATCAGCGATCTTGCCTGCCACTACCTTGCCGAAGCCGGCATCACAGCTCTCCGCCGTTTCCAGCAAGTCCAACTTGATCGTATCGCCGCATGCACAGGCGCCACAATTGTTACACGTCCATCCGAAGCTACAGAAGCCGATCTTGGTACCAAGTGCGGTGTCTTCGATTGCCGCAAGATCGGTGATGAATTCTGGTCATTCTTCGATGAATGCGAGAATCCAAAGGCCTGCACCATGGTTCTCCGTGGTCCATCCAAGGATGTTCTTCTTGAAATGTTCCGTATCATGGACGATGCCCTCAAGGTCGCCCGCAACCTCATGAGCGAGCCATCCTTGCTTCCAGGCGGTGGTGCAACAGAGATTTCCGTCTCCACAGCACTCAGAGAGAACTGCAAGAAGCTCGACGGCATCGAGCAGATGTCATACGAGACAGCCGCTCTCGCACTCGAAGTCATCCCACGTACACTCATCCAGAACTGCGGTGCTCCGACTATGAAAGTCCTTACCCAGCTCAAGTCAATCCACGCAGCAGATCCATCTAAGGCATCTATGGGTATCGATGGCATGACAGGAAAGATCGCAGATATGGCAGAGAAGGGAATTTGGGATACATTCTCAGTTAAGGCACAGGCTTACAAGACTGCCTTCGAATGCGCTATCTCCCTTCTCCGTGTCGATGACATCGTCAGCGGTATCATCGCTCGTGATGAGAACGGTAACCCAGTCAACAAGAAGAGTGTCACAGAGAAGCTTGATGAGAATACAGCTGCAGCTCTTGCTGGTCAGAACCCACAAGGTCTCTAAAATATTATGAAATCAAAATAATTTTTATAAAAATAAAAATAAGAGAGGAGTTTTTATTACCTTTTTTTATATAATTTTTAAGGGAGCACTTACGCCCCTATGACATGACCTTCAATCTAGATGTTTAAGGTTAGTTTTCAATGGCGCTTCACGCCGGTTGTCAGATATTTGAATTAAAGTCAGGTGGGCGTAAGTGCATCCTTAAGGGTGCACTTACCACTTTCTGACACGTTCAGATAATATCAACATATCTTTATTTTAATAGCAAAAGAGTATAATAACCATTTTAGGAATAAAGCAGTGATTTATAATAACTTTTTCTCAATCAAAAATATTAGCTTTTTATCATAGAAAATTTGGATATAACAGAAATTGGTAAGTGCACCCTTAAAATATAAAGACTTTTAGAACAAGGAGAGTAGAGTTTTTGGTGCCAAAGCTGATTTCTTTCCATTTTGAAACTGTTACATATACATTTAAAATATTCCTTGGTTTTTCAAACAATATATTGAGTTTTTAAAAGAGGCATTCTATATCATGTTGTGGATATAAGACTTCAAGTAGATAATAAACAACAAGTTGGGTTAATATGAGATTAGAAATTCTATATGTCTGTGTCACCAACAGTTGAATGAAATTATTGTTCTAAACAATCCAAGTTAAATCTAAATGGGAGCGGTGCTTATTCTACGAAATGATTAATATATAAAATCTATGTTTATTAAATCACTGAAATTGTTTGAGGAGTGAGAGAAAATTTTGATGTCTTTTATAAAAAAGTGACAAATTTTAGAGATTTTAGATTTATGAAAGGAAAACCATTCAAACAAGCTGATGCTTTTCCATATTTCAAGGAAATGTCAGAAAAGAATGGTGGGTACATTGATGTTAATGCAGTTTTTGAACAATTAAAGCAAGATCATCCTGAATTTACACTCGATCTCCAGAAAGTTACATCATACGCAGCAAATTACGCCAGAGACAATGGATGCAAAGTTGGGACAAACAAATTAGCTCCAAAGAAAGAACCAAAGCAAGTAGAAAACGAATTTACACCAGTTGAACCACAGTTCACATTTGCTGATGTCGGCGGACTTGACAATCAGAAAATGGCAATCTACGGCTACTTATCACAGTTCCTTGGCGCTCGTGCTCTTCATAAAAGTATCAATGTTTCTCCAATTTGCGGTATTCTACTTCATGGTCCTTCAGGATGCGGAAAAACTCTTTTTGCTGAAGCAGCTGTTGGAGAATTCGCAAGTAACGTCAAATTTTTCAAAACATCCGCTACAAACTTCTTCAGCGCACAAGGAGGCCAAGGAGAAGCTAAAATCAGAGCATTATTCCAAGCAGCAAGTACATCTCCCAATTCTGTCATCTTTATTGATGATATTGATTTATTATCCGGAAACAAAACATCGCATTTAGCCGAACAGCTTGCCCAATGCATGGATAACTGCATTACCAGCAAAAACTACGTTTTCGTTATCGGTGCCACTCATAAAATCGAAAAATTACCAAAATGCATCCGAAACACCGCAAAATTTACGAAAGAGATTGCTATTGGCATTCCAGATAAAGAAGGTCGTGCCGCCATTCTCCAAGCTCTCATCCACGACGTTAAAAATTCTTCAGATGTGAACATCGACCAAATTGCGACCGAAGCAGAAGGATACGTTGGTGCAGACCTCAATGCCTTAGTCAAAGAAGCCGGTTTCCTTGCTGTCCAGCGCGCAATGGACAACAATCAAGAAGACACCGAAATTACGAACCAAGATTACATTTCCGCTATAGATCGTGTTCAACCATCATTACGCCGTGAAGGATTCACCACCAACGTTGCTCCTGTCTCATTCGACAAGATCGGCGGCCTCGAGGATGTCAAGAAAGAGCTTAGCACTGCAATTATTGATGCCATTGTGATGCCAGACATTTTCAAAGCTTATGACCACAAACCAGCATCAGGAATCATTTTGTATGGACCTCCTGGCTGCGGAAAGACATTGTTGGCAAGGGCAATAGCACATGAAGCATATAGAGCAGCATTCATATCAGTTAAAGGTCCAGAACTTCTCAACAAATACTTAGGAGAAAGTGAATCCGCCATCAGAGGAGTTTTTTCTCGCGCGAGAGATTCAGCACCATGCGTTATTTTCTTTGATGAAATTGATGCGATATGTCCACGCAGATCCGATGATTCATCGAACGCCGCAGCCTCACGTGTTGTTAACCAGTTACTTACTGAGATGGATGGACTTGTAGGAAGAGGACAAGTCTTCGTTATTGGCGCAACAAACAGATTGGAACTTGTTGATGAAGCGATGTTGAGACCAGGAAGATTGGATAAGAAAATAGAAGTTCCTAAACCGGATTTCAACGGAAGATGCGATATTCTTCGCAAGAAATTGGAAAGAATAGTTTGCAAGAGGGATGATATCGATGTTGAAAGGATTTCTGAATTAACAGATGGTTTCAGTGGTGCAGAAATAGATGCGTTAGTTACAGAAGCCGCTGAATTCGCAATAAACGAAATGAAGAAGAAAATTAAAGAAGATTTACCAGAATGCAATGATCCAACTGAAATTAGCAAGGTTATTGCACAGCGTATTCGTGAGTTGTCTCCTGATCAATGGTGCCCTGTAACTCAGGAACACTTGTTAGCGGGAAAGGATAAAATTATTGCCAATATGAGAAAATAAAAATAAATATTTATATTTTTAGAGTTTTTAGAAAATAATAATTTTTTTAATCATTATATTTACTATATAAGTATACTGTCCTGTTGTAATATTTGCAAAAAGCCATCAGAAAGTGATGTTGACAGGATGTTATTGCTGGAGATACGTTTTTTGACATTCAAGCTTTATTACACAATTTTCGAAGGTCAAAAGTTAATTTTTTCGGTCAGGAAGAAGTAACTGCAAATCATTACATAGTGCCTAATAAGGCTGTTGTACATTTCTGCTGTTAAAATAAAGATATATTGATTTTTTAAAAGCATGTTAGATAGCGGTAAGTGCACCTTTAAAAGGAACTTTTTTAAAATCAATCAATCGATATAAAAATTTTGACATTCATGCATATACTATTTATGCAGAGCAATTCGTTCATAAACACATTTTGCGTTGACATCTGCATCATGTGACAAAATAAGTCCCATCAATTCAAAAGGTAGATAATCTGTTGAATAATGAAGTGGAGTTTTGCCGTCTTTTTCATTGATTTAAGCATCATGTTCAATAAAAAGTTCAGTTATATCTTCATCATTAATAACAGAAATAAGGAGTGATATTGTTCGATTATTATATATTTGGCAATAGATAAAAATTAGTAATTCTGTGTTATCTATGTTTTTTTCTACAACAGTACTATGCATTTAGTGCATATATCAAAATAATTGCATGAATACTATATGTCCATCATTGCAATCATCAATAACTCTAACTGCTGAAGACTATATTGGATAATTCCGAAGTAACATTTAAATCTTGCAAAATAGTATCAACAAAAATCTTCGTTGATCATTTCCTGATATATTTGACAAAAACTAAGAAAATAATCACAGACTATAGAGAAATCATCATGTATCAAGTTGAACACACATAGTCTTAATTGAAAAAAATAAAAAATATAAAATATTTAATTAATATTCCACAATTTTGTTTATTAAAATTGTTTTTAACATTAACATTTCAAAAATGTATCTGCAAGCTTGCGATTGCGATGTCTCAATGATATAATAGCACGTTTTAGATCTTCATCGCTTGATGTGTCTGTAATTTTAGGACAAGGGCCACTATTTTGTAGATCCCAAAGTAATGCTTCATTTCGAGCGAAATCTTTGAACTCTCCTTGATGGAATTGATGATATTTTTTGATTTGATTATTTTTCAGCTGATTATTAACAGCATTATCATATTTGGCTGAATCAGAAGTAAATGAATCGAAATCTGTAAAGTTTTTAGCATTTTCGCGCTCTTCATCTGTAATTTCCTCGTTATTAAGTTTCTTAAGCGATGGAACTGTATTAATAATAGCTAATCTCCAGTTTTCAAGAGTAGAAATTGGTGTATCAAGCATCAATAACTCTTCTAATTTAGTTAATCTATTAAAACCGTCAATATTTTCGATTGGATTTCCGGATATGTCCAAAAATGTCATCATTGGTTGTTGTTTGAGAGATTTCAGTGAAGTTAACTGGTTATTACTTGCATTTAATTGTTGCAATTTGTATTGAACGCCTAAACAGAACAAAGACGAAAGATTTTGGTTGGAAACATCACAAACTCCATTTTCGAGCTTACCAACAACACGAGGTTCCTCTTTAACTTCAACTTCACTATCAAATTCTTCTTCACTCATTTTGGATTGTCACTTTTCCAATACATTCTCAGTGAAATAAAGCGAAAGTGAAAATAAGTGGCCATTATTTGTCTATTAATGACACGAAGCGAGCATCGAAAACCACAATGGACACGTTGAAATTGCTTTTTATGTTTTTTGATTTGATGACGAATAATTTCTGAATTTGACAGTTCATATTATATGAACACTTCATTACATGGCCAGACAAACTACACTAATTCATAAATCTCCTCCAAAATCCATATGTATTTCTTTCAAAGTGAATTTTCAGTATATATCGGCGAGTAGGTGACAAAAGTGCATACTCTTAAACTAACCTTAAATGTTGATTTTTCGATATTTTCGGTATTAACCTTATTGTAAATTTTTCCGGTGATAAATTTATCACACTGAGGTTATTTTTCCGGTGAGATTTTTAACCTTGATTTAATGAAATTAATATATATAAATTTTATTATTTTTAATTTCGAATGAGTATAATAAAATATTTTTTATGTGTTTTTGTTTTTGATGTGATTTGAATTTTGTTAACTCTTTTCAAAATCACTTCATTTTTCTGATTTCGGTGGACTTAGAGGATCTTATTGCTTTTGGTATTAAACAGGAAGTCAAGGGCGGTGTCCCATACAGAAGAAGAACGGGATCTCCAAAGCAATATGTCACTTATTCATGTTCGTATCCCCTATGCAAGGCAAAATTTAGGGTTGAAGAACAAAATGGAGTGTTTACTATAAGTAAAGTTAATGAAGAACATTGCCATCATATAGGAGTTGAAATGGGTTCACATTACGCGAGTAAATTTTATCAAAAATGGATCGAACTTTATATTAAAAACGGTGGAAAGCAATTTCTTGCTCAAAATGCATTTTTTGATAAGTTCGGAATTGATACGAATAACAAAGAAACGATGAAACTTTTCGCGCAGTCTACTGATGCTTTAAAGCACAAATTTTATCGCCTTGATGAGATTATTGCACAAAGATTATCAAACGATCCTTACACTTCTTTGGAAGCATTTTTGAATAATTTACAGGAAGAGTGCCCAGATGATCTCGTTCAATTTGATTACAATGGAGATTTTTCCGAGTTTACAATCATATATGCACCTTTTGCTGCAAAAGAATTGGTGCATAGCATTGATAACCCTCTCCACGTCGATTCCACTCATTCTTTAATTAAAGGAAAGATCCAATTGTTTGCAGTAACAATGAAAACAAGTCAAAACACAATTTTTCCCTTTTGCTATTTTTTAGTGAACCCTCAGACATCTGAAAAAATTCAAGAATGTTTGGTGAAATTCTGTGAGTTTGCGCACCTGGATCCACAGCATTGGAGCGCTGACTGTGCGCTAAGCATTGCTCGCGCAATTGAGGACGGATTTCCTCTTGCGCAGCTCAGTTGGTGCGCTGTGCATGTTTTACGCGCATGTGCAAAAGTTGGAAGCTATTTTGACAATCCACAGAATTTTGAGAACTTCTATTTAGCAATGGACTTTTTGACATTACGTGCAGATGCAACGAATGCAGAAAAGCTGGCTGAAGAGTCTGATGAAACATATGAGTTCTTGACAACAATGTTAGAAGAAGAAGAACCGCGCGCTTTGAAGTATTTCGATAAACAATGGAGAAGAACCAAAGAACATTGGATGATGTTATATCGTGGAGAAGGTGATTCCACGAATAACATTGCGGAATCACACTTTCATCAATTAAAGCAAACATTTTTCTTGGGTAAGAAAAATGAGCGCATTGATGACATCGTCATAACTCTCATCACTGTTGTGATTCCAAATGCGATTATTAAGGTTCAAGTCGCTAATGTTTTGAATGAAGAAAGAGCAGTAAGAATTCTTACAAGGGCAGGTAATCAGATTGTTGAGCAAAGAGCTTCAAAACACGATGAATGTTTGAAATTAATTCAACACATTTTGGAAATTGTCGAAAGCCGAAGGATTGAACCTAATGTCCTTATTCCATCTTTGAAGGCAATATTAAATTTGGCACAAAGAAGTTTAAAGGAAGAGTAAGCAAGATTAGATAATTTGGACTTTTTTTAAAATTAATGAATAAACAGTATATTTTTGAAGTGTAAGCTTATTTACCTGAAGCTATATTACTTAATATAACATTCAAAGTATTATTGCTATTTATTGGAGAACAAATTTATGTAATTTTCACATGAAAATTGATAAATTTGTATTTCCTTATGATAATCAATTTTTGTATTTGTAGAGAGTCTCCCTGCATGATATCAAGACTTGGCTATTAGTCTTTATCCATTTTTGAAAATTGTATTGTAAATTGTAAGAATTTCTGAATACTACTACTATAAAATATAATTGCTTATCTATGTATATTCTCCCTGCATGATATCAAGACTTGGCTATTAGTCTTTATCCATTTTTGAAAATTGTATTGTAAATTGTAAGAATTTCTGAATACTACTACTATAAAATATAATTGCTTATCTATGTATATTCTCCCTGCATGATATCAAGACTTGGCTATAAGTCTCTATTCATTATGAGTATGACCCCATTTTTTTTTACAAAAAGTGCCGAATTGCAACTTTGTCCCAATCTCATATATCGGCACCCAGCTACACTGTATATAATACGTTCTCTCTAATTAAATCAAATTATTTATCTAAATTTCATATTTTTATTACTAATGTTGACCATTTACGGATGCAATTTTTAATTGTACTTAAACTAATAGCATATATCAATTTAATTTCTATTGTCCTGTAGATTGGTCCATTTAAATCTCCGAAAATTCAATGATCAAATAATTTCAAAAATAAATCAGGTTCAAAATTCAATTGTATGATATAAATTTTATTCTAAATCCTATGATATAAAATATGCAAGAATCTTATAAATTCCTTCAAAATGCTGAACTTCTTGTTTGATATTCCTCGCATTCAATGAAATTGAAAGAACCTTGGGGAAATATATATATATAAGTTTAACTCATAACTTTGTATGTAACTTCCATTAGCAAATAATTTTTTTAACATACTTATCTGGATGAAAATCTTATGCAATTAGACATTTTTGTTATTGTTATTTTATTTCATATCTACAAACTTAATCAAAATCCATAATTTAAATCCGAAATCTTTGTGATCAATGTTTTCCCACAGACACAATATAGCATTTACATTTCCCAATGAATATTAAAGATCTTTTGAATTGTAAAATTGAAATGTGTGATTATTAAAAATTATTAATGTCCGATCAAGACATTCACCCAAACAAATATAGTGAATTGCGAAGTATATATAAATACAATATCGATTCATATAATGCATTGTATCAGCTGAAAACTGAAAACGAAGAAGAAATAAACAAGATTTACAAAATGCTCAAAACAGAATTGATTGATTCAAAGAAATGTCTTCCTGATACTATTATACGTGACATTTTATGTATCATTCCGTTTAATAATCGCAATACAAAGGCTTATTTTTCTCTTGCCAAACTCATATATGATAATTATCAAATAAACGAAGAAATCAAAGTTCCATTAACTGTTGGATACCTGTTTTATAAAGAATATGGAATTAAATTAAACAAATCAGACAATTTCGAAACAATTAAATTAGAGAATCTCGATATTCATACAGAAAATACAATTTACAGAGCAATTATGAATAATGACAAAGAAAAATTCATCTTCTTCACTGAAAGCGAAGGATTTGATAAAGATCAAAAACTCAAAAGCGATTTATATCCAATTTATTATAAAGATTATACATTACTTGAATTATGTTGTTACCACGGAGCAGTTGACTGTTTTAAGTTCTTCAGAACGAAATTTGACTCCAAAATAACAGAAGAATGTCTAGAATTTTTATTTTTAGGCGGAAATCCCGAGATCATGAGTGAATGTTTGAAACATAAGAATCCAAATAAAAAATGCATGGAATATGCAATTATTTCTCACAACATTGATTTTGTTACATTCTTGGTGAATGAATACAATATTATGATCGATTTAGAATATTGTGAATTGTTTAATAATCTTGATGCATTTTTAGTTTATTACGATCAAACTAATGATATTCAAGATTGTTTTGTTTATTCAATAAAATTCGGAATCCCATCCCTTTGTGAATACTTCCTTTTGCATGGTGCAAATATCAATGATAAATGTAAATTTTGGAAATTTCCTCTTCATTATGCAGCATATAAAAATAATAAAGAAATTGCCGAACTTCTTATTTCACATGGTGCAAAAATCAATGAAAAAGATAAAAACGGAAATACCGCTCTTCATCATGCAGCATTAATTGATAGTGAAGAAACGGCCGAACTTCTTATTTCACATGGAGCAATTATCAATGAAAAAGATAAAAATGGAGAAACTCCTCTTCATTTTGCAGCAAAATGTAATAAGGGAAAAGAAACAGCCGAACTTCTTATTTCACATGGAGCAATTATCAATGAAAAAGATAAAAAAGGAGAAACAGCTCTTCATATTGCAGCTCTGAATAATAGTATAAAAACAGCTGAAGTTCTTATTTCACATGGTGCGAACATCCATGAAAAAGATAAATATGGAAAAACCGCTCTTCATCATGCAGCATATAAAAATAATAAAGAAATCACCGAACTTCTTATTTCACATGGTTCAAATATCAATGAAAAAGATAATGATGGAAAAACCATTCTTCATTGTGCAGCAATGAATAATAATAAAGAAATCGCCGAACTTCTTATTTCACATGGAGCAATTATCAATGAAAAAGATAAAAATGGAGAAACTCCTCTTCATTTTGCAGCAAAATATAATTGCAAAGATACATATGAACTTCTTACATCTGAGAAAAGCTCCTCTTCATATTGCAGCATGTTATAATAGCAAAGATACAGCTAAACTTCTTATTTCACATGGTGTAAATATCAGTGACTACAATTTGAATATTCAAAATAAAAATGAGAGTATACACACTTTTCTTTATAAGATACTCATCTTTTTTTTGATGTTGTGATCTTCAAAATAAATTCTGGTTTTAATGCATTCTTTCATGGTGCAGTTGATTGTTTTAAATTTAACTTAGAAATAACTCAAACTGTTTACGACTTTCATTTTTAGGCAGAAATATCAAAAACCAGATGAATTTTGCATGGGGTATGCAATTATTTTACACTACATTGATTTTTTTTTCACATTTTTGATGAATGAATACAATATAAAGATTGCAAAAAATATAAGAATCTTGAATCATTTTTAGTTTATTTCGATCAAATTAATGATATTAGCAAATGATCGACATTCCATCTCGTTACGAATATTTCCTATCAATTGGTTCAAATATCAATGAAATATGTATATCTCCTCTTCAATATGCAGCATATAAAAATAATAAAGAAATTGCCGAACTTCTTATTTCACATAGTGCATGCGTCAATCAAAATAATTACTATGGAAGAACCCCAATTCATGATGCAGCCGAATATAATAGCAAAGAAACAGCCGAACTTCTTATTTCACATGGTGCGAACATCACTGATAAAGGAATAGATGGAAAAACTGCTCTTCATATTGCAGTTTTATTATTATTATTTAAATGCTGAAATCATTTTTTTTGCTCAGTCAGATTTCTGAACTTTGAATTAATCCAAAGTATTGCACAAAAGGTCGTCAAAAAAAAGTGCGGAAATTAAAAACCGCAATTTGAGTACTTTCTGAGAGCCTGTTCATCAGAAAGTATACATTTGTAAACTTTCTGACACTAATTGTTTTTTGTCCTTTCAAAGTTTTTGACAATGTCAAAAATTATACATCGAGGTTCTCAATTTTCCTCTCAAACGGCGGTTTTTTAAAAAACGCTCAATTTTTCATCGACCTCCGCGTTTTTATAAAAAGAATTATTAAAATTATTACAAAGTTTTAAATCAAATATAAAGAAAAAAATTTCAAAGAAAGAGAAAATATTGAACATATTGATTAATCATCATCTTCATCATCTACTTCATTATCTAAATAGAGCTTATATCCGAAAAGCATTGACTGCATAACCGGATTTTTTTCTTTCGGACGCCCGTTTAAAGAAATAACAAGACGGACGAAAGGATCGACATGGGAAACTGTGAAATCGTACAATTTCTGAACATCGCGCTTCACAGCGGTTGGAGACATTTTAATTTGGATATCCATTCCGAGAACTGAAACAATTGCACGCTTAATTATCTCAGCGATCTCATCCGACTCCGGAGCGTGCTTCAGGATATTTTCTTTTTCTGTTATGTAGTCGGAATCGAGGTAAACTTTTTTCGCAAATGGACGAACAACTAATTCCATGAACATTGCCAAGGCAAGATCGCCGCTTTTATCTGCATAGCATGAAATAACAAGGGCTGCTCTAAGCACGTACTTGGAAAGATCAGGTAAAACGGTCAATTTCTCTTCGCATAATTTTTGAATTAATTCTCCAAGGCTTATCTCGTTGATTGCTGTAATATCATCCGCCCAATCGAATGATGGGCTGACAAATAAGTTAACTAAAGCTGTAAACTCTGTATTATCTTCTGGAATCGTTGAGGAAACAACAAGACGAGAATTTGTAATTAAAACACGAAGGAAATGATCGAGTAAGGTTGAACAACCAAGAACATTAACTAATCGTGGTATTAATTGCTTGGATTTATCATCATAAGCAAGTGCGCAAATTGCGGTTGCAAAAGATAAATCAAATGATGCAACAGCATCTTTGAAACCAGCCATTGGACCTAAACGAGGGTCTGAATTTGATAGTACGGAAATAAATGAATGTAATTGATAAAGGCGTCCAATTTTTGGCGCTTGAGCAACAACAAATTTTTGAGCATTCTTCTTTTCTTCTTCTGAGCCCAGAAAACGGATAGATGGAGGAAGAGTAACTGGAGTTGTTCCTTCTTTTGGAATTAATGGTATTCTGACCACGTTTCCGCCAATAGGAATAACAAAATTGTAATAGCCATCAATGTAAGCGGTTATTGGTGCTGGTTTGAATTTCGAATTTACAATTTCAACGGGAACACTACATAACGAGAGCTGTGAAAGTATTGGGAAGTTAAGAGGAGCTATTTTTCCTGGAATAAGTTTTCTTAAAAAGACGTAAATAAGCTTTTCTTCGTTATTTGGATATTTACCACGAATTATTTTGCAATGATTTTTGATTTTATCAAAAAGAGGCTGATATGCAATTGCACTCGGCTTCTTCCATTCTGATTTATCGCGATATTGCTTTAATAAGAAGAGAACTCTTTTGCACGTTTCAATGCCTTGCTTATTACCTTTTCCGAGATAAAGCATGTCGCCTGTCTCATTATGTGCAGCAATTGCCGCATCCATGGCAGTCATCAACTCTGGAAAAGACATTTAAAAAAGATTTGAAAATTTTCTTCACTAACGGCAGTCGATTTTTTTTTCAACGCACAGCTAAATAATTTTTTTTTCAAACGCTTAGTATTCTTGACTAAGAAATTCCTTCACACATAAATACTAATTCTTGATAAGGGTTTCGTTTTGCTAAAATTGTCACTTTTATAGCATATTTGTTTTTGGATGTTTTGCGAAACCAAAAAAAAACTATGATATACAATGTGTGTGTAAAGAAAATACTTTATTTACTAGTTAAAAAATCATTTGGTATTGATCAAGTTTTTTTTTCTGGATAAGATATTATATGGATAATTGGATAGAAAATACAATTATATAATCTTGTACCTGGTTTAATTAAGCTAATTGTCATCAGAAACTTGTAATTTTTATGAATTTCAGATTTTCTTTTCATTACTGCTTTTCTTAATAGGTCAAGTTCTTATTTACGTTATAAAGTATGATATTTACAAATATCAAGTTATCATGTTTTTTGAGAAATTATGAGAAACAAACAAAAATGAAAAAGATAGGAATAGCAATGAATAGTGATGTGGGTATAGAAAATGTAAGAGATATGAATGCAAAGCAATCAGTATTTAGGATATTGACCATAGATTTCGAAAAAAAAATGCTGCATATTGAGCGAAAACTATGATTATATTATAAGGCTGTCATTTAAAGCATAATGAAACTATTCCCTTTTCATTTTAATCGAATAAGATAGTAAAGATTTTTGAATTAGCTAGAAACTGATGAGATGTTTTCACAAATCAGATTTTTAATCTCTATAATGCATAATTCACTCAATATCTCAATTTTGATATTGCGAGATATTTTTGCTATCGGTTTCGCAATTTTGACACAATAGCAAGAGGGTTCTATAAGCATTATTATCAACGTAGAATCTGAATATCATATCAGAAAATGTCGCAAATCTGACATTTACCCGACAAAATAGCAAAAATAATTGAATACTTTTCGCAAAAACTTTAAAAATCGATAAAAATATGAAATATAGATATTAAAGAGACTTTTTATATAATATTCATAAAGATTTTCCAAAAATATGATACCGCAAAATTAAAAAAGTGACGTCTTGAGTGGAGTCAAAGGTCGAAATTGCTAGCTAAATGTTTTTTTAGCGAAATTGCGTATTGTACGTTTTTTTTGCAAAACGAAACCCTTATTCTTGACGTATTTTTTTTAATCTAATGCAGATTCAATCAAATTCAATATCGAATATTACATTCCAGTTCTGTTTTTATGTTTCAAATGAATTAAAAACGTCTATCATCATTTAATTCTATGAGTTTAAGATATAATTTTTATTAAATTAAATCAAACCAAAAAATACAAACAAATAAGTGGTTTTCATCATTTAGATTTGGACTTAGATTTCTTAATTACACGCTTACTGTATTCCTTCTCAATTGTTTCTAGAAGATTCCTATTAGAATAAAAAATCATCAAATTATCATTGCTATCGATTATACAACCATCGATCAACTGGCAGACCGATCCAGTCGGTATTGTAATACCATTAACTTTTACAGTTGCCGTTCCAATATTCTCTAAATAAAAATTCAAATCTTCAAGAAGAGAAATGACAGCTTGGTAACGTGAAATCAATGATGCATTGACACCAAAGATCGCCATATCGATATCAACGTGCTCATCCTTAGAACTCCTTCCAATTAAAGTTCTGGACTTTGTTAAACCGAATTGAAGAGTTTCTGTACGTAGAATTGCAAGTTCGTGCTTCTGAAACACAAGGTTAATGAAGCATAAAGCAGATTCCGAAATTGAAGAAATTTCTGAATCTAAGTTTGAAAAATCATTGATTTTGTAATAATCATCAATGTATTCCGAAATAGATGCACCACGGTTACCTGAATGTTCATATGATTCAGCAGTGATCTTTTCCGAAAGAATAATTTTTGCCATTTTTTGGTAAATTTGATGTTTCTCGTCTTGGCTAAGTGATTTTATGTATGAAAATCGTTCACAAATTTCCTTTATGCTATGAAATGGATATATTGATGGAGTTTTAGAAAAAAAATCTTGCAAATTAGTAATTTCATCATGATTTTTTGAATAATTCAATATTTCAAAATCTTCTTCTGTTGAAAATTCAACAGTTTCTGGTTGGATATCATATTTTCTTACATTTTGAGTAGAATTTTGTAAAATTTTTGCATATTCATTAAATATTTCTTGTTTTGTATACTTTTCTAATCCATTTACCGACAGCTGGATGCATTCAGGATTACCAACTAACATTCCTAGCAAAATTTTAATTTTTGTTTCTTCATCTATTGGTTTTGTTGGTATAATATCATCGGGTGGAGTTATCTGTTCTCGAGTAAGTTCAGTTACTGGCAAATGTGGCCCTTGTATTTTTGTCTTACCTTTTGTCATAATTTCTAATAAAAAAATGATCAAAAATCATAGTTAAATAACATATGTTCATGCAATGATTGACCTATACAACAATAATTGCTAATAATATGCTCGATTTATTTGATATTTCAAATTGCAATATTTCAAACAATCATTTAAATCACTTCTTAAAGGATTATCAGTATTATGTAATAACAAGCTCAAATAGAATTTGTTTCAAAAAAATTATCAAGGGGGATGTATTTTTTTTTAGGGTGTTAAAGTTCAAAATCTATGACCTTATCAGTAGATTATGTTTCTGAAAGAATTGCACTTCTCCAAGAGAGAGGAGAAGAATTAAAACAGAGAGAAACAGATTTATACATGCGTTTTAAAAATTTAGCTGCCGATTACAAGCAGATTTCAAATGATGACCAGATCTATCAGCTCCTTCAAAAATACGAGGAGCTTAGAATAAAAGCACGTAACTTACGCGAAATGGCTCAAACAGCTCATCAAGTAAGCAAGAATTCTGAAGAAATTCAAAAACTTTCTGAGACTGAGCAGAAGTCTACAGAATTTACATTCGATCCATTGCATCTAACGTATTAGAAATATGAATTTTGTTTTAATTCCAAAAAAAATTATAATAACCTGTTATTAAATCTATTCTATTCATAAAGCTTCTTTACACAAACTCCTTTTTCAGCGATAATTACAAATTTTAATATTAATATACAAGACGATAAGAGATATTTTATTGCAGTATTTGTTAGCGAACGTCAAATCGGAATATTTGAGATATTTCTTAAGAATGTTTATCATCATAAATCCAAGAATTCTTTTTTATTATTATTACAAGTAATGACTCAGCCACGCGTGTTGGTTGATAGCCAAAATGACAATATAGATTTAAGTAATAGCATATTAATTGAAATATAAAAATTTAAAATTGATAAGATATTTCCCCAAATTTAATAAATATATGATATTTCGATTTATATGAAAAAAAAAAAAAGGTAGTGGGGCTTCCAGGCACTTCGTGCCTTCTAGCCCTGAAGATGTTTAGTATAAATGAAGTCTTAGAGGACAAACATGACTATGAGTTTTGATATGACAAGATAGAATATGAGAGAGGTCCTATAAACCGGAGAAAGTGTTATATAAACATCTGTCATATTACTCAGAATATTATACAGAATTCAATAAAAATATATTTTAGGTGAAGAGGTGAGATTTCACCTGTTTTTTCACCTCATTTTTCACCTCTTGAATTTTCATGAATTTCATCGTAAAGACTTTGTCAAGATTTCATCGTAAAGACTTTGTCAAGATTTCATCGTAAAGACTTTGTCAAAACTTCATCGTAAAGACTTTGTCAAAACTTCATCGTAAAGACTTTGTCAAAACTTCATCGTAAAGACTTTGTCAAGATTTCTTCGTAAAGACTTTGTCAAGATTTCTTCGTAAAGACTTTGTCAAAACTTCATCGTAATGAGCGTAAATCAGACAAAAATATATTTTAGGGTAGAAGGGTATATCTACCCCGTTTTCTACCCTCTTTTCTACCCCATATGTACTTACTGAAAAAGTATGTGTTCCATCTGTCATTTTACTCAGAATTTTACACCAAAAATAATGTTTAGGTGAAGAGGTGAGATTTCACCTGTTTTTTCACCTAATTTTTCACCTCGTGAATTTTCATGAATTTTACACCAAAAATAATGTTTAGGTGAAGAGGTGAGATTTCACCTGTTTTTTCACCTCTTTTCTCACCTCTTGAATTTTCATGAAATTTACACCAAAAATAATGTTTAGGTGAAGAGGTGAGATTTCACCTGTTTTTTCACCTAATTTTTCACCCTCTTGAATTTTCATGAAATTTACACCAAAAATATACTACTAGGGTCATTTACGAAGAAATCTCAACAAAGTCTTTACGAAGAAGTCTTGACAAAACATTTACGAAGAAATCTCAACAAAGTCTTTACGAAGAAATCTCAACAAAACATAGACAAGAAAGTTCATGAGAAATTAGATGAAGAAGTCTTAACAAAGTCTTTACGAAGAAATTCATGAAAATTCAAGAGGTGAGAAATGAGGTGAAAAAAGAGGTGAAATCTCACCTCTTCACCTAAAATATATTTTTGGGTCATTTACGAAGAAATCTCAACAAAGTCTTTACGAAGAAATCTCAACAAAGTCTTTACGAAGAAGTCACAATAAAGTCTTTACGAAGAAGTCACAATAAACATCTGTCAAAAACCGCTTTTTAACTTCACTTAAAATGCCACGTAAGCTACGTAAGAATATACGTAAGAGGAAGAGAGCATTGAAACATCCAATAGTAAAACTGACACCACAACAACAGTTGCAACAACAAATGATGAATGACCCCACTATGTTGCAACAAATGTCAAGCAATCCTATGCTTTTAAACCGAGTTGTTGGTGCACAGAGTGGAGGTTTAAGAGCGGCACTTTTAGCGAAAATGGCAGGCTATGGTGGAGCTGCAGACGGAACAGCCTATAACCCTCAAAGTCAAATGAATTTGAGTTCACTCAAAAATCAAATAACAGATGTCAAAAAGTCAAACATAGACATACAGAAGCAAATAAGTGAAAACGAAAAGAAACTAGAATATGACAGACACACAAAGAAACTCAATGAGTTAAACGTAGAGAAAAAGAAGAAAGAAGAACAACTGAAAGAACTAAGTACAGAGGAATATGCGAAAAAAGTGTCAGAAAAAGCAGCAGAAGTAGCAAAATGGAACAAGATGTCATAAATTTGAAAAACCATACTACTCGATATAAAGTACTGAAAGATGAAGAGATAAAACAAAAAGCCCTGAAGACATATATGGATAGCGATGAGTATAAAAAAGAAGTTGAAGCAACTGTAAAGGCAGAAAAACTTTTACAGTTGCAAAACCAAACCGTACAGTATGAAAACTTAGCACAAGAAAGTAAAAATAACGACGCAGCCATGCAAAAGGCAATGAAAAGCGCAGAATATATAAAAGCTAATAATGACTGGTTAGATGCCCAAGCCAACGCTAAAGCAGCCCAGCTTATAGGGTCAATAAGGACAAAAATACAAGCGGATGAAGACAGTTCAAATGAAGCTTTAACAAATGCTGACTTTAAGAACGCCTTCGAAGCTCTTCATAGTAAGGTGAAACAAGTGAACGACTTCTCATCTGGAAAGAAACTGAAGTCTGAAGGTTTCGACAAAGAGTTAAAAGAAGTAGCACAAAATATGACGAAAATAACAGATGCAGCAACGAGACAGGCAGTTCAAAGTGCCTATGACGCCGTTAGAGCAACTGTTGTGGAAAGTCAAGAAAAAGAGTTACAACAGACCAAAACAGACCTAGTAAATGCTTTCTTAAAAACGAAAAGTCAGGTAGGACATTATGCTGCAGATGGAACATATGTGCCAGCTGGTGGAACTTATATACCACCAAACCCTCCAAGAGAAGCACCTGCACCAGGACTACCTAAAACATTTACATCGTCACATGGACACAGACACAGGCATGCACACAACCAGCACAACAACCACCTCCACAACCAGCACAACAACCAACACAACAACCAGCACAGCAACCAACAGTTCAAAACCCTGCACAACAACAACCACAAACAGAGCAAGGACATAAAAGAAGTAGAGAACAAGGAAACCAAGAATTCTTAAAAATGCTTAAAGAAAGTGTGGTTTCCCAGATACTGTTGACTTTAGTGACAGATATAAAGAAGCTATTAGAAAGTTCAAGGATGGAAATACTGACCCGAACCTATTTAGCTTTATGGCTCAGCACCAAAACGGATATAATCTCAAACCTGGAAAATACAAGCTCGCTAAGGGATATGATTTAATAGCATATCATCCAAATGACATGGATGAATTTACTCCGAGATATTTGATGTCAGAGCTAAATGACAATTCAACTTTCGTCATGAAACGCGTAAAAAATAGAGACGGAACGAAAGAACAAAAGCTTATGAATGCGGATGACGTAGATAGGGAAATTGTTGAAAACGGTCTCGGAATATATGAAATGCCAGCAGATGAGGTACAAGAAACTCCACAGGAAGAAGTTCAGATACAACCAGACATGGAAGAAATAGTTCAGCAACAACAGCTAGAAGAGCCTGAAGGAAACGAACAAGTCCTTCCTTTGGAAACTAACTTCACAGAACTAGATGAAGATTTGGAACAGCCGAAAAATCTTGACCCTCAACAAGAGTATGCGGAGAATATGGAATATTTCCAAGAGTCTAAAAAAAATTCGGCTGACATAGTAGAAGAATATCGAAAAATGTTTGCCGACATACAAAAGACTCCAACATCAGATGAAAATATCCAGCATAGAATGGAAGAACTGAAAAAAAATGTACACAAATACAACAACCCTTTTTACTTACGAGCATTTAACGTTCAATCTTTGGATGAACTCGGTGAAAATAAAAGGTTAAATTTCAAGAAAACATATAGAAATGAAACATTGTTTAAAGTTCATTCAGAACCTAACCAAGATGGAAACAAACCTACTTTTGTTTCTGCAGACGATGGAACTACAATGAGATGGGGTCATAAAGCTAACCCGGATAGGTGGTTCATAAACTTACAACCACAATTCCAAGAAGTTGTAGACGCAATGGAAGTCAATGGTGAACGAGATATAGCTGGTATTTTAAGCGCGGCTTTAATGCCATTGAAAGATATGAAACATGCAGATATTTTGGACCAGTATGAAATGAACATGGCTGATGGAAATATAACACCTGACGTTCTAGAACATTTATCTCAAAGAACTACACAGAACCATAGAGATGGTATATTTGGTGAAGAGTTTAGAAAGAAAGTTAGGGAGAGAGAAGGAAGAGAACCTATTGTACATGACCTTGCAAACGAAAGTTTACAAAATGTCATAAAAACTTACTTTGCAGACGATGAATCGAGAAGGATGAATATTTAAGAAAACTCAAATGGACAGTACCAAATGAAATGTTAGTATTGAAAAACATGTTCCTTGACAAAATAAAACCAACTACAGAAATAAACGACGCAAGACTGAAAGATTGGGTAAAAGCTTTCCCATTCACAAAAGATATAGTTGGTAACATGGAAAGAAAACCAGAATGGCTACAAAAACATATATTTGGAAACGAGCATATTCCATATGGACAGGCACTGTTTGAAGAGCTTGAACCGGAAACTCAGGAAAGAGTCATGCAAACAATACGCGAAGACTCAAATACAGACTATGACAAACTCTTTCTAGCAGATATAGGTTACCTGAGATGGGCGACCAGAGCCAAAAGGCAAAAAGGACATGGGAAATTTGCAACATACTAGATGAACATAATGCAAAGATGCAAACAACTTCAAGCAGAGGGCAATGAAGGAAAAAGAAGAGTTAAAAACTCAGTCAGGAAGAAAGTAAAGCTTGGTCGGAGTGGGTTCTATTATGACATATAAATCCAACTATTCTATATTTTTACTCATATGAAATGTACGCCGCTCAGAATATAACGCCAACAGTTTTGGATGCCATGAATGGAAATGTTTCCGAATGGTATAACGAATGCGACAATGCATTAGAAGGTCAGAAATAGTTCCTGGAACTTACGAATATACAACTGCTGTTTCTTATGGAAACGTAGGTGAGTTTGGAGAAGGTTCTTCAACAACAGTAGATATTGCTTGCGACAGGTTTCATATAATTTCTATTGACAACTCTTTCTTATACGTGGAACAAGACATTGAAATAAAACCTTCTGCCAAGTTGTCTGACAAGAAAGGTTGCAATGGAATTTTCTATGTCGGATACCAATATGCTCCAGAAGTTTTCATGGGATATAAGATATATTCTAACTCTGACTTAGTTCAAACAGTAACATGGGCAAACTATGAATGGTTCGCTTTGAGAAACTCAGTACAACCACAAGCTAGAGAACAAACAGACCAGTATGCAACTATTGAGAAAATAAGAAGACTTGACCCTAACGTTCCAGGAGTTTATGTTAACCTTTCTGGTTCAGATGGAAATGCTGTCACTAAAGTAAAACTGAAACTTAGAGTTCCTTTGTCATCTTTCCTCATCTTCAGGTTTTTAAGATACTTGCCAAACTGGGCAGGAAAAATTTCTATTGAACTTACTCCAAGCAAAAATAACTTAGTCATTGCACCAACACAAGACCCATTCACTATTACAGAAGTAGTGGGAACAAATAAAATGTCATTCGCCGACTTTTGCAAAGACAAAGTTGACTTAGACTTTGGTTTCTCAAACCTCAACACTGAAGTAAACTATTATTTCAATGCTGCTGGAACTGCTTGGGACCCAGTTAAGTTTACATGCGAAAAGTTTGAATGCAAGAGAATAGAAAGCAGACTTGCAGTCTATATGTTGGACCCAGATATTTCAAATGCTTTAGCTGCCAAATATATTGCAGTTCCACTTATGTTCCCTATACACCAAATATCTGTCAAAGACTTTGCAGGTGAAGTTGGAAACCAAAGTGCTGACCCAGGTGCAAGAACAGATATTGCCTTAACAACTGCAATGAAACATGCAGATACTATGTTTGTACTGTTCAGACGAACTATAAATGACTATTCTTGTTTCTACAACCCTGGTATTAAATATCATATAAACATAGATGGCAAATATTATCCAAGAGAAGAATATTCTACAGTTGAGGATATGAGGTCATACAACTTGACATTAGATGCTATGAACTTTAACAACAACTTCACAACAACCATTAACCCTGAAATGCAAAGTTCTATTATGCCATATGTGAAAGTATGGACTCATACAGGAGGTCAAAAAACTCAATATACAAATGGAGACCGTTCAAACTTTTGGCTTGGCATTCCATTTGCTGACTCAGAAGACTTTATGGGTGGTATTTCAACTGTTGGTACTGTACAAATACAATACTGGTGACAGAGACGGTCCAGATGAACTGAGAGCAAAGAAGTTTACAAAACCAATAGCACTTTTCACGGAAGATGCTCTTTGAAGATTCGTTCGATGAAACCTGCTGGGGCTCCTCAGATTGGCATAACGACAGCTTCCATCGAGCAGATTTTGGCAGCAGGTCAGTAAGTTGTTCTTGAACTGACTTCTCTCCGTCAAATATTGACAGTACGCCAGTTTTGACATAAAATTGTATTATAAACTTACCTTTAGAATATCTGTAAGTTTGTTGTTATATTTTTGTCTGCTTCAAGAACTTTCACCATTTCAGTTATACCAACTTTCTTTGCTTTATGAAAATATTTTGGTTCAGCAAAGACTGCTATTCTATAACATTTACCATTGTTTGTATAAAGAACTATTCTGTCAATGTATTTGTATTGTTTGTGTGTGTAAACTTTGTTTTGCTTCAATTCGAAAGATACTCAAATACGTCCATCTTTTTATTCTAAGTAAAATGTCATTTCCGAAAAATAGAAGCGTGAGTGTTTCAAAAGGTTTAATGGCGGTGGCAGATGTGAAGTTAAATTCACCAACTCAAACAAACAGTCAAAGTGTTATTGTCAATGTCAAAGAAAGAGATGTTGAAGTGGGGAAACCATACGAGGACGAAGATGGTATAACAATTGTTCCTGTAAAAGAACAACCAACATACCCTGAAGTTAGCAGAGAGTTAAGTTCTGTTGCAGATATTCGAAACGACTACCAACAACTGAAAGACAAACTTCAAACAGGAGAAGATTTGTCAAGCTTTAAGTATAATGTTAAACTTGGTCGAACACAACCCTGTAAAAGTGAACTCATATGTCATTGCACCTCATGAAGTTTTGAAAGAACTATTGAAACTTTTGACAGAGGCAGACGATATAAACATCAAAGAAATAGAACCCGACATTATTGCTGTGGTGTTTCATATAATGTCATTGACAAATATACGTTATGAAAGGAGGTGAAACGTTGAACTTAAAGTATAGTTTCCCAGACGTCATAAAATATTTGACGACCACAACATTTCATTAAAATTTATTTGCTAAGTAAAAATGTCAAAACTTCTTGAAAGATGTTTGAAGAAAAATAATATAGACTTTATTTCATGTAAAGGACTTTACACACTTTTGAACGATATGAAAGACCCTGTTTTGTTTGTTTCGTGTAGACAAAGGAAAGTTCTATGTCTTTACAAAATATTTGAACTTCTTAGACAGAGAACTTCAAGAAACGCCATGTGAAAGTTTAGATGAAGTTCTTCTCCACTTTCAGAAAAACTTTTAAATATATATAAATGGCAGAAGATATAATGGTTTATACTATTACGACTAAAAACCCTGAGTCATATAATTCTATAACAACAAACTTACAAAGTCCTCAAGGACGGTATTGTAAACTAACCTTAAACACAATGACGACTAAAGCCTGTTTTGCTCTTTTGACACCAGAAGACTTTATTGTTGTGAATGGCAAAAAATACTCCTTTGAAGATATACTTACTCAGATATACCACCAACAGGTTTTGTTGACTTATTTAATACTTAAGGACGAGTGTAACATGTGCTGCAACTAGAGCAGGTTTCATTATGTTTGGATGTCCGACTGAGTTTACTATAAACAATATGAGCTATAATACAAAACTTATTTCTGGTTTTTACTACCAACAGTTTCCTATAACAGGAAAAGGTGTCATACAAGGAATGTCTATTCCATTGACTTTAAGTACACCTATTTTATATATTGTTTCAAACTTAGGTTCAAAGTGTTATTCGAATGTCGACAGAAACTATTATGACCAAAAGATACTTATGCGTATAAACAATACTTTCTCTGCTGGTTTGCCTATTGTTCATTCGAATGCAGAATTTCAACCTTAGTGAACTCAAACACTTTGGCAAGTATAACGTTGACATTAGTTGACGCAAACTTTGTTCCTGTAAAACTTTTATGTCCTATGTATTTGTCAATGACGGCAGAAAGTTTCGAATTGGAAGATGCAACTGGTGAAAGTATTGTATTACAAGAACAACTTCAACAACAAATAGCTCAAGAACAACAAATGCAACAATGAACAAATGCAACAACAAAGTCAAGAATAAAAAAAATATTTTTTTTTATTTTATAAAAATGTACAGAATAGACGTTTCAGATTTTTATGACTTCCAAGCGTTCAGAAATATGTGTCCATTTAGAGACTATAACAAAGCAGTCGAGAATTTGAAACGTTTAGTCATTTATGTTGACTCTGCCCCAGAATGTTATGTCATGAAAGAATGGGATGTTGTCTTTAACAAACCAAGAGCAACAATAGTGTCTGAACAAGAATGTAGACAGAAACTTAAGAAAAATAAAAGTCGTACAAGTTGGCATGAAGATGTTAGATGCTTGGGATATCTTATTGTCAAAGTTAGAAGATTTTTCAGTTCGAGGTATAAAGTTCTATACACCTTCTCCAAACTTCTATTCTATCTTCACTGGATATAAATACGAACAAGTAGAATGGAAAGAAAATGTTATAGAAGCTTGGTTAGACCATGTCAAAGAAATTATATGCAATGGAAACGAAAAGGTTTATGAGTATATCTTATGTTGGTTTGCAAACATCTTACAACATCCAAGTGCTAAAAATGAAACTGCTCTCATTATAATTGGAAAGCAAGGAACTGGTAAGAACACATTCTTTACAGATATCTTATGCAAACTATTAGAGGGCTATTCGAATCCGAATATGACAAAACTTAGAAAACATCTGTGGCAAGTTTAACTCTTCTATTGAGAATATGAAACTTATAGTTTGCAATGAACTTCAAAGTATAGATACAACAAAAGTTTTGAACTCAGATGCTTTGAAGAGTCTTATAACAGACAAAGTTGGAGTTGTGAAAGAAAGTATAAAGACCAAAGAGTTTGTGAAAATGTTGCAAACTTCATTATTGGTTTCAAACAATGCTCTTCCGATGAAGTTAGAAAGTTCTGACAGAAGATATGTAGTTGTCAGAACGTCAATTCTCATATGCAAGATACAGAATATTTTGACGACTTAGCAGAAACTTTGACACCTAACTTTTACAACCACTTGTTCTCATATTTCATGACATTAGATATTTCAAAGTTCAATCCAAGACAAATTCCACATACCGAAGAAAGACAAACATTGTTAGAAGCAAACAAGAGTGTATATGAACTGTTTATAGATGAGACTAACTTTGAGTGTTTAGATGAAAGGTCATTGTACGATGAATATAAACAATATTGTCAAGAGTATGGTTATATGACAGCGTCTAAACGTACATTCTTGGCAAATGTCAAAAATCTTTTAGATGTTCAGAACGGCGTATATACAAAGAAAAATTTTTCTGAGTAAATTTTAAAAAAAATATTTTTTTATTTTATTTGAAATGTACGCTGAGTTTGTTGGAAAAGACCGTTGGGAAACTTGTTTGTTAGATGAGAAATATGAAATTCACTGTTGTGAGTCATTTGAAGTCAGAAACAAAAAGACAAAAAGAGTTTTTAAGCGAATGGGAGCGAAATGACGGATATACTACTATGAAGATGAGTGGAAAACACTATTTTAAACATATTGTCATTGCAACTCATTTATACCGAATCCTAACAATCTACCTCTTGTAGACCATATAAAACCATATAAGAAACGACAATAGACTTGAGAACTTGCGTTGGGTCACATGTTCTGAAAACAATAAGAACATAGGCAAATTTCGAGATATTGTATTCGAATTTGTCGACGAACTAGAAGATGAAGCAATTGAAATTACAGACTATGGCAAGCATGCGTTTGAGTTTTACTACTACAGCGAAGAACAAGACTCTTTCTACTTTTATACCGGCGTAAACTATAGGAAATTACAAGTATATTTTACTAAGACGGGCTATGCTCATGTAAACGCTAGAGATACAGATGGAAAAAACGTTCGAATACTTCTTAACAAATTCAAGAAGCTATATGGCATACCATTTTAAAACGTTTTTTAAAAAAAATCTTTTTTTATCCGATAGAAAAGATGGCAAAATTCATCTCAGTAAATAAGTACATGACAGAAGTCAAAGAAGAACTAGACCCATTCGCTTATTTGAATGTTTACTTCTACCATTTTGAAAAGTCTTCATTCAGCAAAGTTTGGAACATCGAACCAGTTAAGTTTGCTATTGTGACTAAAAATGGTGCGAAATTTGAAGACTTAGACATAGAAGGTTTGTTAGCAGTCAAAGAAAATTTTGACAGAAGGTTTTCAAACCTTAAAGAAGGCAAAGCATACAAACTTGTTATACCTTATGAACCAAAGAAAGCAGACGACTATGAATATTATGAGTCTAAGATAGTTGAAGTTCAAGGTAAATTGGGTAAAAAGATTTTAGAGTCTAAGCCAGTGTTTGCTCCTAAAGAGGAAGAGAACATTGACATTGACCAGAAATGTTCTAAAAATAAAATTTTATTTTTACATGTCAAATTTCTTTTTCTCTGGAACTGGTTCAGGTTCTTTTTTCTCTTCTTCTCTACTTTCTTTTCTTTCTTTTCTCTCTTCTTCTTCTCTTCTCTGGTGAGTTATGTCAAATTTGGCGCAACCATATTTATGTAAAAGTTCTTTGTCCTTTAATAGCTCATCTATTCTGTTTTCTATTTCATCTTCAAGAACAGCGCATGTGTCTTCTTTGCATTCTAAGAACTTTTGTTGGACTTCATCTTTCCAATCGGCGTCATCTCTGTCAACAAGTCTGTCATTGACAAATTTTAAGACTGCTCTGCTTAATGTTTTATGGTTCTTGTCATATTCCCAGAAACAGAACTTTAGAACAAATTCCCCTTTCTTGTTTACACTATGTAAGATTTTATGGTCTACAGATGTTTTGCTGTCGAAAAGCTTGTCTCGAATATAGATAGCGAAATCGCTAGACATTTCCTAAAAGATAAAATTTTTAATTTTTCTAAAAATATGTTAGAAAAAAAGTTTGCTGACATTGACAAGAAATTTGAGAATGTTTTAAATAAGAACAAGAGGAAGTTGGAAAATGCTCAGATAAAACCCATACATGACAAGTTCCTATTTGCTCAGAATGGTATAACAGGTCTAATTGCACCACCTGGGTCGGGTAAGACTTTCACTTATCTTAAAATGGCTGCACAACAACAAGAACTAGATGAGAAGAACCCATTCTATGAGTTAGTTGTCATTTGTAGTACTTCTGGTCAATTTGACCAAACCGTCAATTCGTTCAAAGATATTATAAAGAAGTCTAAGTTAGTATGTATAAAGGATACTGAGTTGTTAGATTGGATAAAGAAGTACCAAAGAAGGGTTTTGAAGTACAATGCTATAAATGAGTATATAAATTCTAAGTTTAAAGACCCAAATGAGGAAATGCAGAGAATATTAGAGAAGAAACACTTCAGAAACAAACAGAAAGAGATAGAATACATTTCGAAGAAATTGCAATCTTACGATTGGAAGACTTACCCTCATAGATGTCTTCTTATCTTAGATGATTTCGCCTCTCATCCTTTGTTAAAGAATAGAGAACAAGATATGTGTCGAATTCTTAAGAAGCTCAGACACTTTAACATCTCAGTTGTCATTTGTGTACAGACAGCCAAGAGTTTAAGTAAGGATGTAAAGAGAATACTTACTGACATTGTACTTTTCCCCGGATTGTCCGAAGACGATTTCATGGAACTTATGAAAGAGTCCATGGCAGGTAAGTTTGACAGACATGAACTTTGGGAGAAGTACAAAGTCATACAAGACCCTCATACTTCTTTCAGAATTCATATCTACGCGAACAAAGTTCAAATTGTAAAAAGTCAAGCTTGAAAAATCTAAGTGTTTGAGTCTTAGTCTGTTGTGGTGCTGGGGCTGTCGGTTCTTCTGGCTTTGGAAGACATTCAGGAAGAGGAACGTCAGCCATCCGTTTGTGTCCTGTCGGAAGGAAGAACTTTTCCTGTTGGAAGGAAAAACTTTTCCAGTTGTCGGGAAAATTTTTTCCAGTTGGAAGGAAAATTTTTTCTGTCGTTCGACCAAAAAGTTCTCAATTTTCGAAAATTTGAATGGTTTACGGACGGACAACAGGAAAATTTTTTCCAGTTGTCAGGAAAATTTTTTCCAGTTGTCGGGAAATTTTTTTCCAGTTGTCGGGAAATTTTTTTCCTGTCGGATGGAAGGACTCGGAATGTCGGAAGGAAGAACTTGGAATGTCGGAAGGAAGAACTTGGAATGCCAGAAGGATTTGACAAGACAATTTACCTTATAGAGCTACCTGAGCCATCTGAAGTCAAGCTTGAAAAATAAATGGTTCATCTACCCTACTTGTTTGAAGTTGTCAAAATACTCTGTTATTTTTTCCTTTAACAATGGCAAATCTTCTTTGAAGGTAAGTATTGTACAACCTTTCATATCATAGTGTGTTTGAGGTAACGTATCTTGAACTATTTGTTTCACATCTTCATTCGGTGTCATTGAAATCGGTAAGTTTTTCGCGATAGAACCAATTTCTGTCAGATTTGTAAATCTTAGCAAGGTCGTAAAAGCTTTTGTTGTTTCTTCTGACTAAATGCAACATAACCATATCTTTATCTTCTTCATTTTCCATCTCTTCAGTATAAATCATATACTTATAGTTCTTTTCCTTTCCTTTTGGTACCGAACGTGGTATTCTTTTCTGAATGCTTTTGTCTTTTGCTTCAAGCTTGTTCTCTAGCTCTTCACGTTCTTGTCTATGAGTTTCGTCAAGAAGTCTGTATATATTCCAAGCATAACGAGGCGAAACCCACATTGCAACAGCATTTACAAGAAGTCTATGTACATAATATCCTCTCAAACCGTTTGGCAATTTTTCACGATTTTCATAGAGTTTTGGCGACTGGGGTTTCTTCCCTACTCGCTGTTCTTCACTGTTTTCAGAAAAAAGTATGTCTCGCTGTGCTTCGCTCAAAAGTTCTTGTGTGCTTTGGTTCCTAAACCAGTCTTTAGGAAGCTTAGTATCTGGAGCAAAACATGCTGTCAAAATACTTTGCATTTGGTACATATCGTCTTTGACCGAACGAATGAGACGGAGTTGTTTGTTAAACTGAACCCACTCATATTCTTCATTTATAGCTTCATGGACTATAACTGTTGTTGTGTTCTCTGTTGTTGACATATCTGTCTTTACATACAAGATAAAAAAATAAATAAAAATAAAACTAACTTTATTTTCTGACTTTCACAAAAGACCAAAAATAAACGCTTTACATGTATTTTTCAGCAACTTCGTCAAATAATTTTATAGCTTTATTTATCTCATCTACTTCAAACGTTTCTTTACCTTTTATGGAGCACCATACATTTTCTCAAACTTTTCAAGTAGTTCTGTTTCAGCAGCTCTCATATCGTTAACGAACACAACCTTGACTCTATTGACTGTACTGTCATATCTTTGAGTTATATTATATGTTCTTCCTATCTTATATCTCTTTGTATTGAAGTCCTTCGGTTTCTGAACGATGTAAAGTAAGCCTTCACTGCAACGTTCCGTATCGAACGAACCATATGTTATGAAGTTATATCCAACAACTGGGTCTAACCATAACAAAACTATTGGTATAAGACTTTTGTCTATAAGATATGCTGTAGTTCCATAGAATCTTACCGATATCATAAGCTCAGGATTTCTTGTCAAATTTTCTGAGTTGAAGCAATTCCAACCCAATGCCATGTTTTCTTTCCAGATGGAGATATAATGTCTGACAAAGAATATTTGTTGTATTTCTTTGAGTATCTTACGTTTAAATCACCAATTCTAACCAATTTAGTGTTATTGTCTATCTTTTTAACTGTTTCAAACTCAATGTTTAACATTTCTGTTCTTACATACAAAATAAAAAAATAAATAAAAATAAAAATAACTTTATTTTTTCTATCTTAAGAAAATTCATGATTTTTGTTGCTGAATTCAGTAAAAATATATTTTAGGGTAGAAGGTGACATCTCACCCGTTTTCTCACCTGTTTTCTAACCTCTTGAATTTTCATGATTTCATCGTAAATGTTTTGTCAAGACTTCTTCGTATATGCTTTGTCAAGACTTCTTCGTAAATGTTTTGTCAAGACTTCATCGTAATGAGCGTAAATCAGACAAAAATAATGTTTAGGTGAAGAGGTGACATCTCACCTGTTTTCTCACCTGTTTTCTCACCCAAGTTATTTTTTAAATTTTGTGAAAACTCAACGGTTTGACACATGCCCTAAAAATTATTTTACTCATGAAATTTCATACGGAATTCAGTAAAAATATATTTTAGGGTAGAAGGTTAGATCTAACCTGTTTTCTAACCTCTTTTCTACCCCAGTTATTTTATAAGCGTTTTACATGGTAAACGTTATGAATTCGTGAGACTTTAAACAGTTTTGTAGCTTCTATTTCTTCTTTTAGTACATCGAATGTTTTAACTATGCCGAAAGTCTCTTTATATTTCTTCTTGACGTCAGATAGAAGGAAATCGTTAGCGGTTGGATAGTTTTTGTTCAGAAATGCTAACATGTCCATTTTATCTTCTGCTGGTTTTTCTGCTTCTTTCTTTAAATCTGCATAGTCGTTTCTCATTCTTTCTATCTCTTTGACGGAGTAGTTATATTTCCTAATTGCTGCTTTACATTTAGAACATTGCGGGTTCATTTTTGCGTTATATTCTGAAACCTTACCTGCTAAAACAACCAAGGCGTCAATGGTTTTCTTTAACTCAAAAGTTGCTGGTTTTATTTGTTCGTTCCATATTTTACATCTTTTATCTTTATCTCTTATCTGCCATACACATTCAGCAACTAACGAAACAAAGTTGTCGTAGGTCTTAAACTCCCCAGATTTATATATGTCAGAAACATTCTTATATACCATGTCGCAATCTTTGTCCATAACCTTATGGTTGCAATGAAATCCTAGAAACTCATAGTTTACCTTACGAATGAACTTCTTTATTTCTACTGAGTCAGTTGCTTTGACTTCAATTTCGTCAAATTCGGGAATAGTGAGTTTTTGTTGTTGGATTTCAGGTAGTTTAGGCAAATGGTCAATAATGTCCTCCATTTCATAAAGATACTGTTCATTTGTTTCATCTTTCGCACTACAGTTTAAATTAGATGTTAAAAGTTCTTGCTTTATCTTCTGGATTTCTGTTTCGAAAGTATATGAAGAAGGAATGAAGCTTTTCATCTCTACTAACATAGATGTTGGATTCATGACTAACGAGTTTGGTGCTGTTGTTGCTAACATGTTCTTACAATAAAAATAAAAAATATTTTTTTAAAAAAACTAACTTTATTTCATCTGTCTTAAGAAAATTCATGAAAATTCATGAGGTGAGAAAAGAGGTGAGAAAAGAGGTTAGATCTAACCTTCTACCCTAAAATATATTTTTGGGTCCTTTACACTCATTACGAAGAAGTCTTGACAAAACATTTACGAAGAAGTCATGAAAATTCAAGAGGGTAGAAAACAGGTTAGAAAACAGGTTAGATCTAACCTTCTACCCTAAAATATATTTTTGTCTGATTTACGCTCATTACGAAGAAGTCTTGACAAAACATTTACGAAGAAGTCTTGACAAAACATTTACGTTCATGTTTGACAAAACATTTACGAAGAAGTCATGAAAATTCAAGAGGGTAGAAAAGAGGGTAGAAGACAGGTTAGATCTAACCTTCTACCCTAAAATATATTTTTGTCGAAAAAAAATGGTTCATTTACTCACAATATTTTTGTACAAAACGACCCCAAACTTTTAACTTCTTTTCTGCAGCTTCTAATGTTATCTTAGCGAGTTCATATTCTCTAAATTCTCTCTTTAAATCTTCTTGTTCCCATTGGTCTAGTTCGTATGGAGAATCTCTATAACCAGAACATATCTCACGTTCATGTTCTATTTGTTTTTCATGCATTTTTCTAACTTCTTCTTCAAACAAAGGTTTTGCATTCTCTACTGTATCTTCAAGTTCTTCTTCATCTAACTTCTCATGAACTTTCTTGTCTATGGAGTCCATAATTTTTCCAACTGCTATACAATATTTTGGAGAAGCCCACATTGCAATATAGTTTACGAGTCTTGGGTCTACATACATTCCTCTAACCTGTTTGATTTCATCCGGAATTCCTGCATGAACTTTGTATAAAAAGCAACCCGCCGTTTTCCGCGGGTTGGTATATTCTTCACAAAATGCCTTAAAATACTCTTCCCAGGACTTATTTTCCAACAACCTTCTAAAGTCTTTCCTAAACTGCTGACACATCTTTGTTGCATTTATATAACCATCCTTGTCTCTACGTAAGACTTCAATACCGTTATAAGTGCCTTTTGTGAATGTTTCGCCATTATATTTGTTCGTGAATGTTTTTGCTTCGACTGACATTACTGTTCTTAAAATAAAAATAAAAAATATTTTTTTAAAAAACTAACTTTATTTTTTATTTCGGGAAAATTCATGAAAATTCAACGGGTTAGAAAAGAGGTTAGAAAAGAGGTTAGATATACCCATCTACCCTAAACATTATTTTTGCTGAATTCATGAGTTTTGGTTGAAAGAATACGGTGGAGCCAAAAGTGGCTCGACCTCAAAACAAGCATTTTCTGTATAAAATTCATGAAAATTCAAGAGGGTAGAAATGAGGTTAGAAA